CAATAGTGTATGTAGGTGTCTAAGAGAGGCCACAAGGCCTTAGTCTTATCTTCTTAAATACCTTCAAGGTGCTACAATCCATATGAGACTTGTGTACCTCTTTTCTTACAAGGACTATGTTAGTTGTTAGTCCTCCTATTTTCTACTTATAAGACCAATATTTTTGCATTTTTGACTACACCATGGTGTTTAAAAACACAAAATTAATCTATAAATTTTTTTTGGCCTTCATAACTTGCTCCATTTCTTCATAAATGCTCCCAAAGTGGTAAAACTCATTTTCACCGAAGTCTTGGAAATTGTTCTAAAAATTCCTAAAAAATTCTAAATAAATTTTATTTAAATTCTTGAAATTCTTATAATGGTTTTGTAGTGCTAATATAAACTTAAAACTATAATTTACTATCTTTATAATTTTTTAAAGTAATAAAATTAATTTAAATCTACTATAAATCATATTTTTTATATAAATAATTAGGAAAACATGAAGTTCTTTCTCATGCTTCTTGTAGCTATTAACTAACATTTATATTTTTATAAGTAATATATATAAATAGAAGGCCAATACAAATATTGACCTTAATAAATAATCCTTAATACTCAAAAATAAATAAAAAATATTAAATCAACTAAGATAATTGCCTCCAAGCCTTACTAAGACTCCATTTCTACAACTAACATTCTAATTTTCTATTTGTCTAAAGATTTCTATATTATTCACCATATATTATATTTCTAAGTATTCTAAATGCATCTTTTTATTCTAAAATAACTAGAATGTTAATTTTATGACTCATACACATTCTTCTAAATTTGTGCTAAATCTCATGTTAAAATTTGGTAATGTCTTGACGATAGAGCTACCAAAGGAACTCCTACCTAATAGAATAGTGGATTATAAGATAGACATAGTACAAAGTTTGTAACTTCCAAATAAGGCACCCTATTGGTTGAACTAACTCAAGCTAAAGAAGCTAAATTAAGAACTCAATGAGTTATTGGAAAAGAACTATATTAGGTAGAATAAGTCCCCATTTGAAGCTCTAAACTTCTTTGTGAGGAAGAAGGATGGAAAGATGAAGATATGTATTGATTATTTGGCTTTAAATAAGATCAATATAAAAAATAACTACATGTTGCCGCAAGTCAATGACTTATTGGATAGATTGAATGGTAGTAAATATTTTAATAGGATTGAACATAAGAATAGTTATTATTAGATAAAGATTGTTCAGAAATACATAAAAAAATGCCTTCTAGAATTAGATATGGTTCCTACAAGTTTGTGGTAATGCCCTTTGAATTATGAAACACTCCAACAATATTTATAATGCTTATGAACTTGATTTTTTACAAAGAAAGCAATAAGTTTGTGGTGTATATATTGATGACATTATGGTATTCTCCAAGAGTAAAGAAGATCATAAAGTGCATTTGGAAATCATTTTGAAGAAGTTATAAAAAAACCAAATATATATCAATAGAGAGAAGAGTATCTTCTACCTAGAGGAGTTGGAATTTCTAACACATATCATCAATAGCAAGGATTTAAAACTTAATCCACAGAAAATCCAAGCAATCAATACTTGACAAGTATGCAAGAAGCAAAAAGACATGAGATCTTTTTTAGGGCTAATAAATTATTATAGAAAGTTTATAAGGGACTTTTCTAAAATTACTAGTCTCTTTATAAGCTTCTTAAAGAAGGATAGCAATTCCATAAAGTAAGATTCAAGCTATGAAAAATCCTTCTTAGAAATCAAAGAAGTATTGATTTTAAGTTTTGAGTTATTTTATCCACAATTTGATAAAGAATTTGAAATTCACATGAATGCAAGTGACTTTGCCATTGATAAAGTCTTCATGCAAGAAAAAAGACTTGTAGTATTTGAAAGCAAGAAGTTGAGCGGAATTTAGTTGAAATTGCCTATTCATGAATAAAAATTGTTTATAGTGATGCATTGCTTAAAGACTTGGAAGAAATATCGAGATGGTAAGAAAATCAAGGTATATATTAATAACATCTCTCTCAAGTACTTCACGTTGTCGTATTACATGAAATCTTGCTCAAGAGTACATCCGACACTTGACTATAGAAGGTAGAAAAATTTACACACATTTCAACAACTAAGTTGGCAACAAGCATACAAAATTTGAAGATAATTTCACTTACCAAATGGAAGAAAAATCCTAAAATCCGCTCAAGTGTTGATTAGCCTCCTAATCCAATCTGAATGTTGAATTTTCAGCTCCAATATCTCCTTATTAAACCATTGAATTTTTTTCAAATTTCACAAATGTATAAAAAAATCAAGTATTTTATTTTTACATAAAATTTTATTCCAATCCAACTAATAGATTGTTGAAGATCCTAGAAATCGTAATTGCCTCTAAAAGTCCAATTTTTGAGACCTCAACCTACTTGAAATACAATAGCCTTTAATTCAACCATTCGATCAAGTTCAAACTTATAGCATACACTTCAAATAACTATTTTCATAAGTGATCAAAACTTAAACTATAGATCTACTACCAAACTTACAAAATTCTCCAAAACATAATTTCTTTTTTATGTCACAAATTCCAGAGTCACCCAAAAAAACTATAACTTTGCAAAGTTCTTGTAAAGTCATTCCATATTAAATTCCCTAAAAATCAATGCTCAAAGAAACCCTATTAAGTTTGTTCTCAAATTTCACTCTCTGATTAGCCAAATAATTCTTGAGTTGCCGTCTGTACTTGATTTTGTGCCTCAAGGTCTGATTTTGATCCATGTTAATAATTGGTCCTTTTTGGATATAAAATCTTGTCTTTTTGAGTTAATTTTTTTTAAATCAACTCCTAACTTCTTCCTACATATTCTTATATTCTTTATTTTTCTAATCTACCTTGTTTTGTTTTATTTATGGCCTTACAAAGTAAGTAGAAGCCTACTTTGTAAAATGGAAGCATTTAAATCTTTAGTTCTACTTTCTTTTAGACTATTGTCTATTTTCTAAGATAATTTGCTACAATATTTGAAGTAAGATCTTATATAATATAATAGATTCTTCATTCGTTTCACCTATTAGTTGTGTTATATCATGACAACATTAAAAGCACAAGCCTTTCCAAAGGAATTGAGATAATATGATGTGATCATCTCAATAGATATTGAATTGATTTATAACCGGGAAAAGATAACTTGATGCTAGATGCATTGAGTATGAAAGAAAAGTTTATTAGAAAAAAACTCTATAATGTAATGACACTCAAGACAATTGTCTATTGTGATAACTCTCTCTTTATCAAAGACGTAAAAGAAGCCTATAAATTCAATGTGGATGCATTGAAAATCATAAAAGCATTTTTTTCAACCAAAACCACAAGAAAACACAAAAAACTTATGAAAATCTCTTTGATAAAGGACGAACTTATTTGATTCAAACAAATTTAATTTTATATCTTAGAAGACAAGTGGAGGAAAAAATTCATGTTCAAGATACACGACTCTCTATGAAAGGGACATAAAAGAGTAAAATATATGTTAAAAGATGTAGTGGGGTCTTACTACTAGCCTTTCATAAAGAAAGATGTAGAACAATATGTAAGGAGCTTTTTAGTATAGTAAAGGAATAAGCACTCTATACAAGCAAAGGTAGGACTTTTTGAACTACTACCACTTTTGCCTTTGTCTTATAGAGATATTTCAATGGATTTCATAATAGGCTTACTAAAGTTTATTGAGGTTAATATTATACTAGTTTTAGTTGACAGATTCAACAAGATGACAAGGTTCATAACAATGGCTATATTTTCAAGAAATTTCAAAAAGAAGTTAGAAACTACTTCACAAATAATGGTAAGTCTTTTCTTTGATACTTTGATTTTTTTATATGGTGTGTCAACTTCAATTATAAGCAATAGAGATATTTACTTCACAACTCAGTTTTGGTAATATATTATGAAGAAATTGGGATCCAAAATCATACTTATAATGGCTTGGCACTCACAAAACGATTGACACTTAATCTTCTAAGTGAGCATTTTTAAGAAATTTTTAGATAATGAAAAAGACTTCCAAAAAAAGAAGGCATGTATTCCACCTCAAGAAGAGATATGAGACTAAACTATGGATCAAATATTAGCAATATTTGACAAGATGCAAATCAATATTAGGAGAGTTCAATATTTGTGTACCTTCAAAGGTTATTTCATGCACAAGTTTCAATAGATCAATGAAAGAAACTTATGGCATGTGTAAAGGATGGTAACTACTTTTAATAAAAAAGTGGATGATTACAAGAAGGTGAAATCTACACAAAAATAGTTAAAGAATTAAGGTTCTTCAATTTATAAAAGAATAAGTTGTGTAGCAGACCCGAAGATGAGAACATATTCACTCCAAGTGGAAGAGAAAGGATCACAAAAAAATCCTAAGCAAAGCACCAAAAATAGGTATAAATTAGATAAAAAAATTTACAAGGTCTAGGATTCATAAAGCAAATAAAAAAAATGGAAGTAAAAAAACTAAGACTTAAAAAAAGCTTGAGGATAGAAGTATCAAAAGATTATAGTGTAAGTTTCTCAAGAAATGAAAGGTTTGAAAGGATTTCGACGTGAGGTGACTTCATAGAGGATAATCTTAAGAAGCTTGAATGAAGAAAATATAAGACTTCAAACAACCAAGCTTAAATAGTTAGGCTTTTTTAAATAAGTTTCTTATTATGTGATTACAAATCACCTCCATATAGCATGAAAGAATAATAAGGCAAGGCGAGCATTAGTTAAAGAGTTCAATAGCCATGACAAGTCTAAGTAGGAGCACAACTTTTTATGATCCACAAATAGAAGTATGTGCTTTCTTACTCAATAGTTGAGAGGAATTTGTAAAAGTTGGGATGATTGTACATTATGCAAAAAGATGACAGTATTCTATCTCATTTATAAAAATATAATCTTGAAGTTATAAATAGAAAAAATAAATAAAAATAAAAATAAAATAGAATAGGTAGAAAAAAGAGCCTTTATGCTAGTTAGACATGGATCACAAAAAAATCCTAAGCATTGACTATTTAATGACAGTGTGGAGTACGTTACGTGGAGATGGTTCGTCCGGACTGAGAGCAACTGCCTCGATTTTGAGCTTTTTGTCCAGGTATTCGAGGTACCCCTGCTGTTATTTTTCTTTGTCACTTCGTATACTGATCAGGAGCTCGGTGATCAGCTCTCTCGACTGATCAAGTGACCTGATCACGGCCACACTGTTAGTTATGTTTTCATGCCATTGTGCAGTCCGCACTTTTCGTGTTGGCTCCCGATCCATCAACTTACTGCTCAAATCTGTATTTGTGTGCATAGTGGATGGGGGTGGGGACAGAACATACACAGTGCCAAAAAATGCTGATGTTGGAGAAAAAAGACCTCTACGAAATTGTTTAATCCGAGGTTTCTGCAGCTGAAGCATGGTGAGCGAAGGGTGCTTTTCAGGAGACCAAGCTCGTGCTGGTGACGTTGATTGTTGATGTCGGCATCACTGCTTATTATTCTCCGTCTCAATGCAAAGTTCCATTCACATTATCAATCTTTAAAGGTGATTGTTGTCTGCGTCATATTGGGCTGCATGTTGCGTTGCAGTTGATCACAACCCTATTTTCGCCTATTTGTCATATGTGGCCTCATGACCTTGACCTAAGCAGCTTTACTTATGTTCCTCTAAACAGTCAGTTTCTGAACTTCCTGGGGCTCAAACAACTAATCTTGGAGTTCAGATTATGTGTCGCCGATGAAAAGACGAGGTGCTGTTCCTGGCATCTCGTTGATTCCATTAAGGATCATGCTTGCAGGCGTTTAAGCCAGTTCCTCCTTCCCGGAATTTTTCTTGGGAGTTCTAGACGCCTCTATGCGGCCGCTGAGTAAGCTAACATGAGCACGTCGCGAAGCTGCACGAAAGTCTTCACATCGAAGTACGAGTCCTCGCTACTCACTGTTCATCCCTGCTGATAAACTAACATTACTACCTTCCCCTCTGACTCAATTTTGCACTTCTGTTTCAGAATGCGTATACATCTCGGTGATCTTTGAACTCAAGAGTTTAACGCTTACCTTTTGAGGGTAGAATCCACTTTCGTTAGCCTCACCCATCACTGACGAAGCGAGACGGCGGTTTCTGATCTGAAGCTGCGACGTGAGGCCCCACAATGTGAACTGGCGTGGTATTAGCGATATAGAATGTATGGAACAATCAGGTCTAAGCAGAGATGATGTCCAGAAACATTAAGTCACAGTGGTCGTTTCACGTTATGGATACTGAGTCGTGAGATTCAACTTAACAAGAAAATTGTTGCGTGAAGGACTAGGAATGTGATTTGTGAGGTGCATCTCTCACATCTTTTGAGGTATAGACAAGAATTAAACTTCTACCAAAAATGATTCTTATTCTGCAGGTTTGTTGGAACAAGCCCAGATTGATTAGCAAGAAGATTAGACTAGACTTGTCAACGAACATTTTAGACTAAATGTCGACTAATTTTATGATAGGCTGATATGCCATTTCCTCGTCGCATAGGTTATGCTCAGATATTGTGAGATCCCTCTGTTCCCCCTGATTCGTTGTCACATGTTCTTAACGACGCCGATCTCCCTGTCGCTTGGAGTTGATGTCCTTGAATCTCCAAAATTTCAGGCATCTGTATTCCTCAACAGTCTCATGCGCCTACAATTGGTTGCTAATCTAAAGTGAGGTGTAGTGATTCCATGTGAGTCATACTTTGCATCTGGTTCCATAACTTGGGTTCAAATTGAAGAATACCGCAACGTAACTAATATGTGTTACGAGATCAGGCTCACTTTTTTTAAAGCTTCTTGAATGACAAATTTAATGATGAAAGTTTACTGTTTCAAGGAAACAGTTCCCAATTGCAAGGTCAGGGTGGAGCATCACCAATAGTAAGGGTAAAACTCAATTAGATAAGCTCAACCTTTGGAGCACTCCAGGGAGGTTCCCTATTCTGGGTCATCAACCGAATCCGTGGTACAAGGGGCTGGATTCCACCATCAAGAAGGTTCTTCACCACTTGAAGCAGATTCTCAAGTAAAGCAGGCCTCGTCTCGTGGTCCATGGGCCCAACACAAAGCCTAGAAATGGGTAGCCGTTGCAAGTGTGCAATTAGGGCTCCAGCGGCACTTTTCTACATCTTATCATTACCTCTACCATAGCACCGTCAATTCCAACAGGCTTCATGCGCTTCAAACTGTTTAAAAACTGAAGATATTTTGCATCGCTTGGAGAAACCGCCTCACCATGGTACTGAAAGATTCCCTTTTGCCATGACTAAAAGCTTCGAGGGACCATCACACTCCTTCCTAAAAAGTTTCAGAACTGAAACCTACTTATTGTTCTGCATGAAAGTGCAAAGGAAATGACAGTTACGATGTTCTAGTCACTTCTGCGATCCCCCCAAGCCAGCTTCCTCACAACCTCTAATCCAGCTCAATACTCGGCAGAGCTTGCCATTGCTTTGGATTTACAGACTCCAGAAGGTCTCCAACACATTGTGCGCAATTCACCTCACTCAAGCTTTGTGACAGGTGAATCAAAAAGATCTTTCTGGGTGCATCATGTTGAACATGTGATTGGCTGCATGAAGAAGTTGAGTTGTTTTGGGGCATGGAAAAAGTAAATAGCAGTCAAGACGTCGATGATGCATGCGATTAACACAAAGTATTATGAAATCACATGTAGAGTGATTTTTGCACCGACATGATCGTATTTTCATACTATGGTAGCATCAGCATTGGAATTAGAAAAATACTTTATCAGCTATCCTTTCAAACCAAACCAAATAATTCATGTAAAAAACTAAAAAGATTAAAAAAATAAAAATAAAAATAAAAATTTACAAGGTTGCGAAGATGCCACTATACTTTTCTGAAAGTGTTAAATAAAATAAAATACACTATAATTCTAAATTTTTTGCGATGATAGCAACAGTTGCTCCACAGTGTGTTTCATGGAACAAGGACAATCTAAAAAAAAAACTTTTAACCCAAGAAGAAAATCCGACTCCTAAGAAAATGCATTCTTTCATTTTCAGAATATGGTTAAAAAAAAAAACTACCTTCATCCTTTCAGCTTCGTTGTAAGACAATCCTTTGAGGTGGCCCCTAACAGCACCACTATCACACATTCTGTGCTCATCTTGCAATGTTCTGGAAACTACACGGGGTATTTTTACACAGGTTTTCCAATCCTTGCTGACTTGACTCTTCTACATGGTAAATAGAGACTGGCATCAACTTGGCAGCAACGATAAAGTAGTAGTCCACCAGCAACCCCCAAATCTGGTAGACCCGCTCTCTCCAGGTGGGCGACGTCAAGCTTTCATTCAGATCAACCCACGTTCGGAACAAACCCAGATCCATCCGTGTGGCCACGATCTCCACCTTCCTGAAGAAGAAGACCACACCTGTGCCAGACTTGTCCTTTGTTGTTATCCATCCCCATGCCAGCAGTTGGCAACGATCCACGGGACTACTGCCGTCCGAACCGCACACACCCAGTGTCGTTATTGTTGTTCTTCTTCTTCTATCATATTATCACTACTCTTCCTTTATTATTTATTTTTATTTTATCCTTATTTCCTCGCAGTCTTTCCTGATGCTCTCCGGTCGATCAGTCGATGTTCTTCATCTTCCGCGACTCGCCGGCTCACTTTTGTCTGAATCCACCATAAGATGCGTGTGAGCGTAGAAGAGCTTCTCTGAAGTTCTCACCTTTGCAGAGACGCACTAGCCATTCGTTCGGATCGCTACCATGCGGAATCATACAACAACAGTAAGAACAGTAAGAAAATTCGATGTTTTAGGTGCGATTTGATCTGGAAGCCTGCAGCAAGTCGACAACTATGCCGCAGCAGCAGCTTCAGCGAAGGAAGTAGACCTGTTTCTACACTGGTCCATGTGTGTATCATCCTCGTGGATGAAAGTAAGTTTGGATGAAATTATTTTGGATGAGGGTTCTAATCCTGTAATGATTTTGCAAGGTTCATCCTTTGATAATTGGTTGGATGCAATCATGCATAATTGTCTAGTTTTATTGTGTTATAATAGTTGCTAGATAATTCCCACTTTTCAAAAGAAATTCTGAAAGAAATTTATGTGTAATTTTATATATGTTTTAAAAAATAATAAGAAAAAAATGAGATGTTTTTGAGAAGGTAAAAGATCTTGTGAGTTATGTTGACAAACAAGACACGTGTCAATGATAACGAGGGTTTTCTATTTAATGACCTGAATAGTTATTTATATATTTGTAGAACATTGGAATTAGTTGAATATTCAATGAAATGCATCCAAATAAGATTTATGTGATAATTCGATCTTTCAAAATATGCTCTTGGAGATACTAAATTGATGCACTTACAATGTGATTTAACTCAAATTTATTTATTGTTTTTTCTCTAAATTATTATTTTAAAACAAAATTTAATAAAATAAAATAAAATAAAATCTATGGCATGTCTAAGCTACATATAGAACTTCCAAAGAATGTATAAAAATATTTTTTTTTGTTTTCATTCAAAAAAACCTTCAATGAAAACAAGGTACAAGTACTCTATCATATATGGAATTGTTAAATTGACCCAATCATCTACTAAATGGGTCCACCCATCCTAACCATCATAAAATAATTCTCCACTACCAAATTCTTATTGGTTATAAACCACTAAAACCTACTAAAAAAACCACTAAAAAAAATTTGTTAGATTGGCAACCAATGATGATGGTTGGGTTGATTTAGTAAATGCCTAGGTCGATTCAACAATTCCTTTAATATACTGTATTGATAAAAAAATTCATGCAAAACTATAATCAACCTCACATTTTGAAAATTTTCAAATATTAATATTAATATGTAAATTTTCAAAACGATTCGTTACAGTTATCAATAAAGAAATATAAATAAATTTTTTTTCCAAAAAATAGTCTCTCCTTCGATTAAAAAAACGCAAATGAGGAATTGTTTCGAAGCATTCAGTGAAAAAACGGTTGCCCAACTGGAGAGATACCCGATTGACACCTGTCCAAGCCACCGTCCACGTGGACTTGGACTTGTCAAAGTACTCAAAAATGTCCCGAAGCCCGAGGCGGACAGTGTGAACGCACCCCATGGAGGTCGTCCTCCAAAGCGGGCTGAGCCCATCATTCTCCCAATGACAGCGTTACAAGTGTCGACCAGAAACTCAGTCCTTTCCCGCTCATGGGATGAACGAATGTTCGACTCGGTGTAAGTTCACGTGGTGCAACATTCATCCAACATTTGACCTTGAGGCTTCTCCTCCTTCACTGTTACTGATATTAGATTTTTAGGGTTTATGACGTATGTAAGATTTTTACACATTTTTAGGGTTTCAGGAGTTTGAATGGTTTATATATATATAGTTAATGTTTTTGACTTTGTTTTTTTTTTATGAAATAATTCTCTTTGGTGATGTCAAAGTGGACATACACAACCTTTGAAAATGAGTGATGCATCAACTTCAAGGTAGCCATTGTCCATGCAAATAATAAAATCAATGGATATACAATGGATATACCCCACCTGTTGTCCCCTCCCTTCTTCACTCCATGATGCCCAGGCCCCCTTTTGATGTATTCAAAATGGTGAATTGTTCATGGTGTTAAATCATACTAAGGTTCAACACATGCATACGTGTTTTTAAAGTTTGTCAAATGAGAAAACTTAAATATGTCTTCTTTTTTTCTTTCTTTTTTTCTTCTTTTTTTATAGTATATATACATACATATATAATTTTTTTTCCATGTGGTTAATGGCTGTCTCACAAAGTACAAATGAAGGAGTAGAAAGGTCTACCTATTTCATTTTACCTGATGTCATGTTTCTATTTTTGAAAAAAAGAAAATTAATTATTACATTTTCTGTTTCAAAACCATTACAACATCTTAATTTTTATAGAATTTGGGAAAAAAAGAAAATTGAAATTGAAGCACCCTCCAAAGGAACAGATAAAAAAGAGAAAAAGAAAATATTAATGATTGATATTTTCAAATTTATCTTTTCTCCATTATGTTGGTTTCTTTTGGTGTACTTTGCTTGATTGTTTGTTTGTTTTTCTTTTTCTTTTTCCATGATATGAAATTGAAAGAAGACCTAGAAGTATCACATGCTTTGAGTTCACTCTTTCCTGTCAGGTCTTACTTGCACTCTGTATATGTTTCATTATTTTTTGTATTCAAGAAAAAATCTACACATTTAATTTATTTATTTGTAACACAAAGAATGAATTGAACCTTAGTGATGTGGATGAAACCATTCCTTACAGCTGGCTGTTCACATTGGCTTTAAAGCCCCTTTGGAAAATAAACATCTGTAACAATAAACTTTGAGTTCTGTCAAACAATCCGGTGGGCCCAGACCTTCATTACCCACATGTGGATTTTATTTGCTTATTTATTATCCAAATACAAAAAAAATCAACATCGTTTCATTTCACGAGTAAATCCGGAACGTCAAACACTGACAACAAACCTATTTTACAGTATATATATTTTTGATAAATCTCTTGACCAGATTTAATTCCTGTCCACACACTTGTCAAACGTTTGGATTATTGATGAAGTTAGTGGCATGTATTGAAAGCGAGAGCAATGTCAAATATTATATGAAGAAAACTGTTGATGTGTTTCCTCAGAAAAAACTGAACAGGAAACTATCTGGAGGAATTTAATTATTCACTCATTTATTATTCTAAATCACTGTTACACTTTTGATTTTCCAGAATCATATCAATTGGAAGACCTTCCAAATATCTTTTACATCAATGCAAAAGCTTTACGCAGTATCCTTGTAGAAAAGACAAGAGCAAATATATAAATTATTATTTATTACCCGTTGAGCTTTGTTTTTGAAGCTTTAAATTGTCGGAAAATTTAAAACACAACTAGCAATCAACAAAGTAAAACAAAACGACATGAACACACACACACACATATATATATATATGTATAAATAAATAAATAAATAAATATTTATATATATAAATATAGATAATGCTTTCTCTAGTGATGTAGAAGAAGACCCAGTTTCCATTCAACACAGTAGGGGAGCAAGGCTTCACCAATGCCAAACTACTACAATGCCAAATGCTGTCACAGGAGGGGCTCTGAAGAGCAGCCCACATGGAATCCCTGCATTCATTGAAAACACGCACTTAATATGGGCTGCTGCTGCATTGTATGACAGTATTAACCCACTCACTCAGACATCCCTACATCTATTGTTTTTATCCAGGAACTGAGAAAAATCATCCTTCATAACATTATATATATAGCACAAAATAACATGCCCACCCTATAGCACTCACAGAGCATGATACCCAATGGCTGCATCCATAGGTATGGAGCCTCTTTACCACTGTTACATCTCATTTACGTATAAAAATACAAAAGGAGTAAGATGAGCAAGGCCACAACAAAAGCTACACCACAGCGGCTGTTTGTTTTGTTTTGTTTTGTTTTTCAGCCATGTATGTGGATGAATTTCATACTTCAGCCAGGTGATGAGGGTTGGTGGGCACTCTCTCATCACATGGACTCGTGGAGTGTATACACATACGGAGATGTACACCGAAATTCTACATACATTAATGTGCCGAATGAGATACGAACGGTCGTCATATACGATTCCCATATACGCATCTATATATACATATATATATACACACAATCGAAGATGTGGAGGTGCTCAATAATGCCTGACAGCAATGGCCCGATGGAGTTCGATGGTGCTGTGGGTAGTAGAGTTGTCCTAATCATTCATTTACCTTAATGACAACTGCTCGCACTGATTTCGGAATCCATGTCGTGTTCACGATGGATGATTCTAAGGGGATTTCATAAATGTCGGTGTACTTTCGTTTCTTGCGCTTCCAGTGCAGAAAGACAGCAGTAAGCGGAGATTCGGATATTCTCGCAGCCGTGGAAGTGGGTCGAGTAATTCTCTCAGTTTGTCCACAAGGAAGTGCCTGGATCCGCTGCTATTAGAAGGGAAAAAAGCAAAGGTTTAGGAGATTGGGCACTAGCTTCGGAGTGCAATCTGACGCGGTCGCAGCGTTGATACGTGTGCCGGATTGATTTGCCCGATATAGCGATTGAGAATCTTACGGTCAAGTCTAGCCGCCTTCGTTGTCCGTTCCGGTGGCGATGGTGCAAGTGACCCTGGGAGCAGCAGCAGCAGGAGTGCTGGCATCGTCAACAAGAGAAACAGCGTGGGCAAAAGCCGCGAGAGGAACTTATTGCAGCAGGATCGTCAGGATTGACCCACCAGCCGGGGATCAGACGACAACTCAGCGCATCAACTTCGTCAAACCCGATAAACTTTCTAGTTGGCAATAGTTCCGGCAGGCTCCAGATGATTAAGGGACGACCGGCGTGGCAAATCCGGTGAGCGCAGAGTGCAGGCTGACGATAGCGTAGCATCTAGAATGGTTGATGCCTTCTGAGCGGGGCGTTTTCTGGGTTCCATCCTCGTCATCTTCATTGAAGTATTGCCGTGCACGCGCTTGAGAGGGCAGCAGCTCCTTCTGTCTTAAGATGGATTCCTTGCGAACGCCCGCCATCGTGTCGTGTTTGAATATTCGGCCTTATCTATCTTAGCTAAGCGGGCCTCGCATGCTCAGAACACCAGTAGATGAACGAGCAGTTCTCTTCCCTTGACATAACAGTCCATGCTTCGGTGTAGCTCGAGGAGCGTTCATAGTCGACGCTGTTTCTCTGTTTGCGATACAATTACGTGCGGTGCTCACCCCCCCTCCCCGATTTAGCGCCGTTGTGATCAAGCTCTGTGACTGGAGAGTTTTCTCGATCAAGAAGTCGGTCCAATAGGGTTCCCGCTGCGTTTGGTTTTGTGTGGGAGCTTCAGACATAGCTAAGCTCCATGACGATGCCTATGCGAGAGGTGCGTCACTGAGATCCTTGCTCTGTTCTTGTGAATTCTGTTGAGGTGTGTGCGTTGACTTAATGCCGACGTTTCAGATATTTCTCGGTTTGCCGTGAAGCGGGAAACTACTGAGCGCAGAGTATGAGCTTTGACAACATGCGAGAGCTTTCGAGTGTTATCTTGAAGTTGAGGATCAATTGGCAGAGCAGTACGCATGCAGGAGCGTATTTAAGTAGCTGTTTCTTAACGAAATGCTCTCTTTGAAAATTAATTTTAGGTAACTGATTGATTTGAGGGGCGTGATTTTTCACTTCGGGAGTCATCAACCTGACGCAGTCGTTTTGTTTACAAAAGGACAGCTTACATCGTCTTTGGTCTGAAATCCTTGACGCCGTGTGACATCAGTTCTGTTTCTATGTAAGGTTTTCGTTGACTAATAATTTGTTTTGCTACGGATTGTGCAGCATTTTTATGGAATTCACGAGTCTGCACGGATGCTTCCGATAAGGGAGCGATCACCTTATTTTGTTGAATCGCTTTACTCAGGGTTTCGGGAGTCGCATCAATATCCTCTTCACGATGGCCCTTATTATGCCTCCTTCCCTCCTCCATCTCAATTTCCTGAGCCGTTGTCGCGGATACCACGATCCTCTAGTTCTATTCCTACTTTCGGCCATTACGACGAATCTCCTTTTCTAGATCTACCTCGAGGTCCCCCCCTTCGATCTTCCAGTGCTATTCCCGCATATGCTTATCCTGGAATGACCTATCGTGATGTGCACCCTCACGGTCCGCCTCCAAATCGCCCATTCCGCTCGACAAGTTCTATTCCGGCCTACGAGTTGCACTCTCACGGTCGGTCTTCAAATCGTCCAACTCGGTCGTCAAGTTCGATACCTGCCTACAATCTTGAGCAACCACGTTCCAAAAAAGTTGCGCCGGTGAGGATGAGGCTCTTTGCAGCTGCTCGTTACGTTCATGCATCTGTCTTCAACTTTTTTTTGTTGTCGACGCGCAGTTCTGATTTAATTTTGGCTAACTTCTGTTATTGTTGCATTGGATGATTCAGGAAATCGAGTTAAGAGTACCGATGTGTTGTAGCAAATGTGAAGCTAAGACGAAGGACGTGTTACGAAAATTGCCAGGTAATACTTTTGCATCGTGAGCAACTTTCATCGTACATTTGTTTAATCCAGAGTCGAGTTTGCGGAGGCTACTTCATTTTAATAAATTACATATCTAACTCTTCTCCCTCTCTCTGATATTGCAGGCGTCACTGAAGTCGTAACCGATAGGCGCAGTTCGAAGGTTACTGTAAGCGGCAAAGTAGACCCCCAAGTAGTGTTGAAACAGATTCAGAAGACCAAGAAGAAAGCTGATTTCTGGACCAAGCAAATTTACAGCCAAGCGTTTATTGACTTCATACAATCTAAGACTAGCTCAGCTCAGTCTGAGGAGGAGATGACATCGTCTTTTCATCAGCAGGTACCCAAGGACGAATCGGAAATCTATCACGCATATGAGAAAAGCGAGAATTTGTCATCTTACGAAGAGTACCCTGGTTACTACGAGAGGGAATGCCTGGACTCCTGCGAGCAAATCGAGAGAGGACCGTCCCACTCTGCATTCAACGATGAGGATTACGTTGAGAGAGAGCGGGAATATAATAACTATCACACCTATGGTTCAAGAGCCGACATTTTGTCAAATGGCAGGTCTTCTATGCACGGCCATTTGGAAGATTTTCACGGAAACAGAGACGATAGAGCACCCCACTACGAGAGCCATGGTGCCCCCGCTTACTTCAAGCATTTCGAACCTTCTTCTTATGGGACTCCGCATCCTGAACGAGCCAGCAGATCATTGTATGAGGACGTCGGTTTGTCATACAGGCCAAGCCAAGTGTATGGTCCATCTGGAGTATCGAATCCAAGTTACATGAAACGCGTCATCAGCGACTACTAAACGGAGAGCATTTATGCACTTGCGGCACCTTCACGACCGAAATGTAGCGACAGAAACGGACAAATTACTCGGAGAGCAGTTTGCTGCTACAACTTCTTAGAACAATGTACAAAGAGCTACTTGCTTACCCTTGCGCAAAACCACTTGCGTATGCTCCGAAGTTTTGGGAGTTTGTTGGAGATTTATCGACTTGATAGTTGGAGCATTGTTATGAAATCCAATTTTGATACTTGACCGGACTCACCCTTTAGTATGACCTTTTGGTGATGAATGTAGCTCGTCGTTCAGGCGCAACTGAATTAGAGATAGGCTAGTGGATGCTTCCAATTGCTGCAGCAGCTGGAGCAGGATGGTGGAGCATATTAATGCTAGAAATCACCACTTACCAGACAATTTGTAAACTAGTAGAATTTTCTACACTTTTACCTCTGTTTTAAATCAGAAAGATTCTTTGCTTATTTGGGTGGGTTGGGTATGGCATGATGTCCAACTGTCTTGATCACCATGGGTCACGTCCTCGGTCGATCTCAGTCTAAGATCACGTGCAGGACCTGAGCCACGCAAATTTGCGCTTCATTCCCCCTAACTCCGGCAGAGATAACTTTGAACTTCTACCTCATCATGGTGCGTGCTGAACTGATTCAAGGAAAAAAATTCAATAAATTCTTTAGTTCCCTGGTCAAACTTCCTCATGACGATGTTGGTTTCCCACCTAGTCGAAACCTCTCACAAATCCTAGCAGTTTCCATGTCAGCGTGTTTACCAATGCAGTAATGGTTCGCATCGCAGACGGAACAAATCGTACCAATATGGACCTCTTAGGACCTTTTTTCGGTTTAGGGTTTAGCGCCTCATGATATCTTCTTCTACACCACTTCGGCGTGGCGCTGATCGAAGAAACCATGCGAAGCCAACTCTTGAAGCATTGAAGCACTGCACGCCAACAGAGGGGAGCGTGGAAATGGAATCCTAGAGCACCCGTGTTATTAAATGAAGGTACGGCGGGGACAGCCCAAAGCCTCTGCGCACGTGGAGCCGACGTGGACGCAAGGGAAATGAGCTGGCGCTCTCGTGTCGCGGCTGGTATTGGATGGAGGTACGAGGATGGCACACTCATTCGCGCCTCTGCCCGGGCTTTCCGTGAGATTGTTAAATTTTTATTGTTTCTTCGTTCTCGATTTATTTTTTTTAATTTTTTATTTATTTTATTTTATTTTATTTTATTCCGGTCTGGGCACCGGGATTGGTCAGCCTTACAAAACATGGGTGCATCGTGTGCTATTGCGTGCTACTTTCACTAAGTACAGGTGACCACCTGACATTGGAGGACTCTCTCGTTTGTTGCCCCTTTTTATTTCTTTGCTTTGCTGACCGTGAAGCCCACAACTTTGTACTATTTTTTCCCACTTGGGTTCCTGTTAAATTCAATTATTTTTACTTTGGCCATGCATAAAGCATGTAGGCTGAAAAAGTAGAATTCATGTTGACTGAAATTTGGTGGTTACATTGGACCCATTCTTTCGTAATATCTCTTCTCATGAGATTGTTTAATTCTATTTAGTTCATAGTTTAATAGTTACTAGTTAATAGTGAAGTTAATTACATTTAGTTATATTTTCCAAAATGATTTACTCATGCAACCCTTTAAATTTGTAAAGTATCAAGTTAATATTTGATATAGAATTCAAGTTTTGAAATAGTATGATATTAGATCCTCTTCTTTGATCAATAAAAGTTGAACTAAAAAGCTTGTGCCTCTTAAGAGGTGAACTTAAAATGAGATGATGCATACTTGTGAAACAATATGGAGATAAAATTTATGATAAAAATTCACACAAACTTAATTGGATAATTTATTTTTTAATTTACCATGTATATTGTGTACATATACAGACATATATACATATATACAAACAAAAAAAATATAGAAGAATGAATTTAAAAAAAATTATAAATAGTCCTTAGATTCAAAGAAAATCAAAATTCTACCTATTATTACCAACCTAATTACATGAACTTCAATCCATTTGTATTGAATTTTCTTTCATGCCATTTCATGAGACTTAACAATTTTGTATCCATAAGTTTATCCTTATCAAATGACCCAACCTAACCTAAAACTTTGATAACTTTTGGACTTTTGTACAAGCACTTGAGGAAAAGAATAAGAATACCACCCTTGTTTATGTTTCATAATTTAAGCAACTCACACAATAACTAAGATAAAAATTTGCATAACATTACATATGAGCAAAGAAACTTTTTGAACACAGATTTCAACTTTACCTACGATGAATCACTCAAAAACAAAACAAATGAATTTGGGTAATTGTGATTTCAGACTTAAAATAGAACAATGACTTGATGAGTTGGGTACACTACTAGACATGGAAAATTCATGCAGCTGACAACATACAAACTGATGGTTTGATTTTAGAAGCTCTTGAATATTATGATTTTCATGAGATTTGTTTACATTCTTTTACTTGAAGAAACATAATCAAGTCAGACAGAAGCTCCGAAGCTGAGTGGATTGATGAATTAGGGGAAAATGTTGCTCTTTGCGTTGCATCAAGTCTGCTAGAAAATCAACGAATCCATCCACCTTGTCTTGGCTGTTGCATGTTGAGGTTTTTAACTCACATTATGGGTGATGAACACAAATGTTCGGTAGGATGTGTGATCACAATCACCGTTGCTGGTTGAATATGGATCATGCTGGACTCTGCAAGTAAAGAGTTTTAGATGCAGTTGTGTGGGTGAGCATCAAGAGCAAGGATCCTTTTAAGCCTCCTTACTGTTCTCGTGTTCTTTTCAGACTTGCAACGTTAAATTATGCCTTACAAAGATTGGAAAGGAGGTGATGCACATTGGAGCTTCTTGTCACTCCATTGACGAGATTGTTTGAAAACCCATTTGCAAGAGAAGGTTCTGATTCGTTTTTGGAGGTGAGTTCAACTTGCAGGGGAAGTGGGAAAACGCAAGTACTCATCTCTGATGGTGTAGTCAGCCTTGATGACCATTCGTTGAGGTCAGTGATTCAAAGTTTTGATGTACTTCATGTGATCACTTGCTGCAGCTGACATCAACAAAGGAACAGCATCATGACTAATGGTTTTTCTGGATTTGAGCCTGCTGTATGGAGAGTGCTGTCTCAAGGATACTGTTCAGCTCAAGACGTATTTTCTCAACTTCCTTACTCTTGGTGTCAAATGCTTGATGCCATTTGTGCTCTGCGTATTCCTGGTCCTTGCTGCTCGCCTGCTTCAATTCCTCAAGAATGTTCTGCCATTCTATCTCTCTCTGCTGTTGGCGAGCCTCCATCTCTGTCACCTTCTTTTTCAGCTTCATGATCTGCAAACACGGCTTATTACGCTTCTCGAAGAATCTTATATTGTGAATAATTAAAATTGATTCTTGGACTGTCACATCTTGGTTGAATTCACCTCACATCGCAGTTCAATTCGTTGGTATGAGAATTGGCATCAGAACATGTTTCAACTTCCAGGTTTCAGCACCAGCAACTTTGCTGTCCAACCTTTCCAGTGTAGAAATGAAGATTTAAGAATATGGGACCTGTCGGTAGCACCTGTGTCATACGTGGGGATTGCCGAAACATACTCTGAGCTTCTTCCAGCTCCTCGGACATATCCTTCAGCCTGCACTAGTACTTTGCCAGAGTAAGATCCCTTCTCGCCTTTTCATTAAAGCCATGTATCACCACATAATTCTTAGGATAAAACTTTGAAAGGATGTGTGTGCTGTTGAAAATTGAACGCATACAGAACATCCGTGTGCTGACATGATTGGTATGAAGCTCTCCAATGGTACCCAGTTACGGTACCTTGCCTCTAGCGCGCGGTTCGTCATCTCTAGTGAGCTTCGTTCTGAACGCCAGATCATACCTTCTGGATCGCTCCTGTGGTCAGTCCATCCTACAGACGTTGGCATCTTTGAACAATCAATTTGGCGTTTCAGAAATTTTGGAAAGCAACAATGAGCATCACGTACTTGTGAAGCACCGAGGGATATTCAAGTTGGTTGAAAACCACTAGGGTTATTCATGCGTTACAGCAAACTATAAAATAAATACGTATTTATTCAGGGTTTGGGATCATACGTTTACAATTAGAGATCATTTGAAAATGAATAGCCGTACTATTGAGTCCAAGCAATACCTGCCAAGGATGTTTGGCATTCTGAATTGCAGTCCATTTGAGCTTGGCGAATTTGCTGAAGTTGACGGGCTTGCTGATGCTGCAAGGTAAGGAACACTGCTTTTTCCACAGACTCGTCACATGCTTTCTGCAGCACCTCCCGGGTGAGCTCTGATTTCTCGAGCTCCATTCGCAGTGCCATTACCTCGTCAGCTGTATCTACTGCAACACTGGTGCTGCTGAGCAGCCGTGTCCGGCTGTTGTTTGATTCCTGCGATGGCAGTTGCTCAGGTTCACTGCAATATACCTCTCGAGTTGGAGACCCCTGTTTCTCTCCAGTACTTGCTATTATAGCCGAAGCACCAGTAGCAGAAAATTTGTTGCAAAGACCTTCATCCAACAACGCAGTCAGATATTTTCCACGGATTCAAAAAAAAAAATGAATGAGAACCGGACAAATGTCCTATATTCGTACCTGCCCGAGCGGCTTCCATCGTTTTAAGTTTATTTTGAAGACTTTTTATTGTTCGATCCTTCTGAATTAAAACATCTTCTGTGAGGAGGATGCGCTCCTTCGCCTCCCTCAGCGCTTTTTGCTGTGCCTGTGTGAAGCATGTAAGAAGACGTCGTGTAGCCATTATCTTCTGATGGAGTTGCATAGTTAACTTACTTTTGCAACTAAGAAGCGCGATATGAAGAACTTTCGAAATCTCCACAATATCTTAGAATCTAGACATTGTCCTTCAGCAACGCAAATGTGCTGACAAGGCTGAAGTGCATAACAGAAAATATTAGACCTTCGTTTTAAGGGTTCCACATCTGAGGATTTCGTGAGGAAACTGGGACAGGAAAAGATTCACCAGTCTAACGTTTTCCCTACCTCGTAGTTGAAAGGTTCACGTAAAAAATAAGAATTCTTACAGGCTGCAGGCGAGTATTTGCAACTTTTGACTTGAATGCCGTATTTTCAGGAATCATCTTGCTTCGCATGAAATCCTTGGATTTAGGCTCTTGTTTAGCCTCGCCAAGTTTTTCAGTAAGATCCTTCAACTTTCTTGAATAACGTATACGAAGGTTTGCCAACTGATAATGAACATCGAACACATGTCCAGAACATTATTAAAGTTTGAGGTGAAAATGTTACATAAGCATTTAAAAAGTTAGAACATCTTGCCCCCTTAAAGTTTTTTAACTAAGCCTGATACGTGACTGCACTTGCAAACATGGATAGGAATAAGGAGCGTAGCCTACATGTCTCAACACATTAAAACTTGATAACATTTGGTAACTCTTTTCACTGTACCTGTTTCTCAAGGTCCTTCACTCGGTTCATAGCAGCTCGCTCATTTTCTGATACTGAATGTCCATTTTGAGCCTGAGCTTGTGTTTGTTGCTTCAAATTCCGAATGCGTGTTGCAGTCTCGGATTTTATTTTATCGTTCTCAACTTTCAGTCGGTGAAGAATCTTGTTTGTTTCCTCATCTTTTTGAAGGGCCTGACGCTGGATAGAAACCAACTCCATCTGCAGTCGTCGAAACTTATCGTTTTCTCCCACACACGACTTTGACATCTGCCAGAGTTATAATGACGTCATTATTGATTGGCCCATTTGGGTAAACGATTCTTCGCAAGTAAGCGCATTTCAGGGGTGTAAAGAAAAGAAATTCAGATCCAGTGTGTGATAAGCTTTTTCAAGCAGAAGCTAAACAAGTATTAACTTCGATGAGTCAAATTTGAGGGACACACACCTCTAGTGCATGAAGACCTGTTTCCTTCTTAGCTGCACGGAGGGATGCCTCTAATCGCTTGACCTTAATGATGAAGAAAAGTATTACAGTGAGTTAGAGAGGATACAGGAGCTCTCTGTTGATGACGTTCAAGCAACCTCGTTTACATGGATTTCTGAACACTGCCAATCACCAGGATAGGATTGTTCAACCTGGTTTCGAAGAGTTTCTATTTGATTCTGGGTCATATCATTGTTTGAATTTTGTTTGTGGTCTAGTTGATCCAATTCGGCAACCGTCGTTCCTTGTGCTTCTCCACCACTTTCCAACTTGATGGTAAGCAAACGGATTCTCGAGGCCTGCATCATGGAGGCATTGTGGTATTATTAGAAACACCAAAGAACAAGAGTACCTGACGCATTTGAAGAATCCCCTATTCAATGCTGCATTATGAACAAATTGGGCTCTAGTGGAAATATAGGGAATACAAAATCACCGTACGCATTAAACGCAAGACGCTAGGCCCCATTGCTATTCATGAATTATCACTGCATATCCAGTCAGAAAAGCATGTGCCTTTTACAAAAATTACTTGGTTCACAATTGCATCTACGGATATCGTTCTCAGGAAGATGCGAGGATCAATTTGCATAAAATGGTTCCTCCAGTCTTGCGCAGGAACGAGTTTGACGCATCGTAAAGTCGTATAACTTAGGTTTGTACCTGATTAGAAATGGTGTCGTATAGTGATGATATGAGCTCCTCTTGCTGCCTTGTGGCTTGTTTTATCCCCTCCATCTGAGCATGACCCTGCTTCTCCGTTTCCCGCATTTCTTTCAACGCTGTTAATTTCGACTCCAGGTCTCTAATTCTACCTGATTCTTCTTTCTTCTCACGCATCTTCAGCTCCATGTACGACTCTCGTATCTAATCAAGAGTAATTTCAAAATTCATGCTTCACTTCGAATTTCCACCAAGTTCAACTTTTGAACCACACGAGCTGGGTTTAAACAGGATAATTCATGTAAATTGATATTAAGAAATAAGCGCTGACCTTGTCAAGGTCGATCCTTAGATCAGATTCGCGGGACAAAGCACTCCGTAATGCCTCATTCAAGGAAACTGACTCTGTACTGCAAACCCAGCTCTGATGCCCACTCTGCATATGTCTGTTGGATAGTTGAGAAGCAAGAAATGCTCTTTCCTCAGCCATTTCTTGGAGTTTATGCTTAGCATCCAATTGAACCTCTTTGAGCTTCGCGACAGCTTTTTCATTCTCAACCTTGTAACATCACATATATGTTGACATTGAGAAATTCTACAGCTCTCCGCATATTGTTGTGAATACCTAATTTCGTATGGGTGAATTATTTTCATGTATTTTCTCAGTTTCAAGATAACTGTGAATAAAATCCAGACCCATAGCTTGGCGACCAACAATGACAAATCTCACTTCCATGCATTATTACCTGATACCCTCTGATAAGAGCTTCCTGTTCCAAAATCTCTTGACGCAGTTTCCTAACGTCTTCCTCCGTAAGCTGAGCGTTTGTCCTCGACATGGCTCTCAGTCTATTGCAGGGATGATGTGCGTTCAACTCCTGCAAGAACCTCCCTTCCTGCATGAGAGACCTGAGAGATGGATTGAAAATTCTCTACCTGTTCAGCTTCTGACAAGGTTGATGGATGGTTACAGCTTATCTTTTGAAGCAATCATTGAACCTCAAAATCTTACTCCTCTTACGACAGTAATGCAGACTCTAAAGAATTTGTGCACGTAGCTAGCTGACAATCACTTTGCAACTAAATTTCGTGAAGATAGTGTCTTTTATACTTTGATACTTAATGTCATTTCATTCTGGATACAGTGTTTATTGCTCTTTAAGAAAACTTTCATCAGAAATTCCAAACAGCTGGCCGTTGGACTGCGGCTGCTGAGATACCAGAAGTGAGTACAATCTGCTTAAGGTGACCACCTCAAGGTCCTGCCAGGAATAGGCAAAAGTGCATTCATTGTTGAGATTCAAAGCAAGTCTTTTGGGTGCTGAGCGATCACATGAAGTTGGATGTTAACTCAACTCATTGCAAGTTTCTGTTTTGTTTATTAGAAAGCTTGTTCATAGTCTTTACTGCCCCTTTTTTTTTTTTTTTTTTTTTTTTTTTTTAAAAACAAAGAAGGAAATATAGGAGGGTTGACCCGGAAAAGGTGGCGTGAGTCGAAGTAGACCTGAAGATGCTTCAATAAAATTTGCTGCTCTTTCTGGGGATTTTGCCCGGCCTCTGAGAGCCCTGGCCCGTGCTGGCTAAGTGTTTCGGTTCCCAATCCCTGCTCTACCACTCGTAATATCCTTTTTGGCTGCTTTTCATTGTGTACATGTTTTGTTTCCTCCACCTGCATCAAACATGAAGCAGATATCATTCTTCTCTACTCCAGAGGCACTTGTTAACTTTTCCATACATCTACTGTTGCAAACAGAAGAGCCTCCTCAGGCAATTTTCTCTTCGAAAAACCTTCCAAAGATAGTTCAGACACTTATTTAGCTCCGAATTTTTTTCAAACACATTCTAGTAATCATAGTGATAGTTGAAGTATCTGAGAGTATTGATATTTGTCGACTCAAAACCTGCGTTCAGTAGTTGCGTGAGTGCAGTTGTGTATTGGATAACCACTTAGTAAAGTTTAACAGTCGAAGGTGACAGAATAAATCACCTCATTTCGCAGCTCCAAGACTGTGAGAGAGGCAGGTTGAAAAGCTAGGTACACATTCGGCAGGGATCGATCATCATCACAGGACTGAAACGGAACAACTGCAGTCACCTGCCAAGGTCACGTGAAGTTTTGATCGAAAGAGATGCAAATCATGGTCAGAAATGTTACTGTTATAATTCTTCTCAAAATGAAGGCTACAATTGCAACACTTAAATGGATAGCTTCGAGGAGGACAGAGCCACCGATCTAGATTCGCAAGAGGCAACAACTAGGGGTTGCAGGATCAAAGAGCACGTTTAGGTACGACTTTTAAAACCTACCTCATCGGCAAAGAAATTGCGAACTTCGCCAAAACTATTTCTCGATTCTTCTGCCGATCCTTGGCAGTAGTTTGTATGTGTCACTTCAGCTCGATGGGTGCCTTCGCCATCACCACAATCCAGATTAAGCATTTCAACTGCAGCTTCATCTTTAGAACCTGACTTACAATCCAAAACTGGAGAACCGAGTCTTTGACATTGTTCCATATCACGTACTTCACATTGGTATTCTGGTGCAACCAACGTTTCTTCCACTGCACCGCTACGTTGAACCCCGTCTGCTTTAATTGTAGTTAGCACCATAGGATGCGGAAGGCGGTCGCATGGAACAACAGAAGCAGCGACTCTTTCTTTCGGCGAGGTGGCTTCCTGAGACTCGTTATTCTTCAATGGTGAGTCTTTGGTATTTGGTGTGAAATCCACTGCACTAATGCAGGAATTTTCAAACCTGCTATGTCTCTCTGATAATGTCGGTGGGCATACTACCTCTTGATTCTTGACGAAAATTCCGTTGATCACAAAGCAACTCTCCTTCGAAGCTTCTCTGTCAGCAATCTTTGAATTCTTCCCAAAACATCTGTCGAAGTCGACTGTACATCTCTCTTCTTCAGTCAACATTTCGGACGGAGAAGTCCCCCCTCGTGATTGGGACGCAGGAACTTTCAGAGCACAAATGTCAGCCGAACGTCCAAAATGCTGTAACTCGTCTCTGAGCCAATGTGGTAGTTTCTCTTCTGCCATGGCTTCTCGTGTTTCTATAGATTTCATCGAACGTATATTGGATTGGTCCTCTTGAAGGGATTCTGCTAGTTGAGGAGAAATTTGTCGAGTATCTGGAGGTTCCACTGAGTATGGATTCTTTACAGGATCATCCTGAAAAGTTGAATTAATGCTTCTGCTGACGGGCCTTCTCTCTTTCACCACTCCTGTTTGCGCCTGATCTGTTGCCGTAGCTTTGAATTGGCCTGCAAAAACTTTGATTTTTGACCACCTTTTCTTTACTGTTTTTCCATGCAATTTTAGATGTTTATGCAATGCCATCTGTCTGTAGTTCTCTTCTATATCATCCTCATTGTCTGCTCCACCACTGGAATATTCCATGTCGTTGCAATCTGAATCAGCACTAGTGGTGCTTTCGGCCAGTTCCTTAAAAGAATCTACTTCGTTTACAGCTACTCTCTGAGTTTTAGACCTGGAATCCGCCAGGATGAGCATCCCGCTTTCCTCTATTTGTCTCCGATTCGAACGAATACTTTTTTCCCCACTGTCACCACCCTGAGCTGCGACTCGACGTGGCATGCTTCTTCTTCGGCTCGAGTTGGACGATCCGCTTGAATAATATCGTCGCGACATTTTGATGCTGGCTTGTTCATCAATCACCTTGGAAAGTGATGCGTGGGTTGAAACTCTCATAAGGACACATTCAAGACCTCCCTCAAGCTTCTCACCTGCGTCATTGACTTCATGCTCCCTTGAGGAATCCTTCTCCTGATATTCTAGAGAGGAAGCTTTTGAGAATTCGCGTAATGTTGCGACACATGTAAGAAGCTTTGTGGCCTCATCACACTTATTCTCAGTATCTGGTAGATGCGATTCCTGCTGTGATGAAGAACCGTCTAATTCACCTATCCCTTCTCGAGGCCGATCCCAGCTCTCTTCTGACGCCAAGGACCAGATCTTGACTTCTGATCTCGTCATTCTGCCCTCCAGATTTCCAAACATTTATTGAATCATCATTTAATAGATGCAAAATCACTTCAAGCCACTGCTAAAGAGATAACACTATGGATGCAGAACACAGGCGAAGCAGTGAATGTAAATTGATCCGGAACGGTATGTGCATCGAGCTCAGGGATATGATAAGTCTAACTCGGTACCTGTGAACTGTTTTGATGTCAGGTTTAGAAGAAACGAATTTAGGGGAAAATTTGCCACCGTGATAACCTTTCCTGCGCAGATTAGAGTTCATGCATTCAATCAACACTGGGGGAATTTTTCCAGTTCTTCATCTCAAACGCATCAGACACAGAGCAGCTAGTTCAAATGTTGGCAGTAAATTACAGCTTACCCATCTGAGGAAGCCACGGCGTTATCATCTAATTCATCATCCGTGTCTGTTGGCAAGTCCGACCATGCATGCGGATCCATCCTACTGCTTAAACCTTTGCCAAAGGAAGGACAGAGAACATGTACACATCTTGAAGGACGTTGACAAAAGTGACGGAGCATTCTCATCTGGGATAGGGTTATGGAATACAGTGGGACTCCAAACAAATGAACAAACAAACACTACTGCACACAAACTTAAGGTCGCTATCATCCGTTAACAGATGGGCTAAAAATGAGGTGTTTCGGACACAAGCCCAAACAGTAGGTTTTTCAATTCAAATCCATTAATCTCCAACAGTCGGGCTGAATTGATAGTCACTTACTGCCTCTTGTATCCTTGTACCGAACAAGTACATCTTCCGATTTCCTACCATCAGCCCCAGGCCAGACATCTATCTGGTAGGCATCTTCCCTGGACGCACAGACTGCTCGATCTCGTTTCCTGCCCATGGGTCATTTGCGACATCCATTCAAATGAGCGATCTGACCGGGGTACATGCAATTTCAGCAAGAATACTCTGCTAAAGCTTAGTCGAAGAAGACCCCGCCGGTCAGTAGCTACTTTATGATTTGATTGCATTACACTCGAATCAAAATTCTATAATGGATAACTCTCCAGTTTCTCTCTTTCAATGCATCAGAACATTAAATCTCAATTTTTGTTGCTTTGGATTCCCCCATTCGCTTCTTTCATGAGTAATATTTGCTATCTCATAACAACACAGTTATGAGATAAAAGGCAGACTTATCTAAGAGATCCTGGAATGCTATATTACCGTTGCGAAGATCTCAATTTAAGGTCTGGACTTCCTGAGCGCTCTGGAGACATCAATCCATAAGGTTTCTGTATTAAGCTTCCCAACTGCAACCGATGCACAGATGTCGCATTATTTTACAGTGAATTTTCGTAGGACGTATTAACAAGGCAATCCCACATCGTAGTCGTCGATTTTGTGAAATTGAATCCTCGTCAGTATCGTACATTTTAAAATCGCATTAGTGGCAAAATTATTCGTGGGGATTGGGGTGGAAGAATACTATCACCCGAAAACTCTGATCTTTCTTTCTCAATTCTCTGGTTTAGTTCAGATCACCAACCTCTTGAGCTGTTCTTTCAGCCATGGAATCGTTCATAGTATGGGGAAGAGTAACCGTTGTCAGCCAGCTTGTTCCATGCGTTCCTCCTGTTTGACTTATAAAGCTGCGTGCATGAAGGTCTGAATAATGGCCATGAAGAGTTTGTTGACGTTCCTTTCACTAGCTCACAAGAAGCAAATGGTTCTTAGAGTCTATATTCCGACGGCCTAACAATATGGAAAATGCATAGAAAGAAGCTCATAAAATGGACAGCTTAGAGCTCTCTGAAGCATTTAAGGACATTCATGTGCTGCATTCGGTTGCTCACAGCTCTCAACCCCAGGGTTTCACTGCCTACTAATCGCTTTGATTTAGCCAAGTTGGGCGAAGACTGATGCCTGCAACAATTTCGAGAGTCCTCCTAAACAGAATGCAAGAATGGACTAAGAATCTCAAATGCAAGGCGATACAACCTCCACTTTAACTCCTATCTAGCTCAAAATCTCCTGCACCCCGCCGTTGGTCGGTTAAGAACAAGTTTGAGTCAGTTAAGAAATTCAGCCATGTCTGCAGCGAAAGCAACAAACCATTCAAATGGAGAGAAAATTGGAAGCATGGGTGGAGGAGGAAACCAATTACCTCCTATCGCTCTCCGTCTACAGGCAACTCTTGTGTCTTGTTCTTCTAAACCCACGAATGTTATAGTAAACCGTAGGCGATACATTCTCAGAAACGCCTCGCCATTGCAATCAATGATCCAAAGTAGCGCTCTGCAAGCCACAAAATAGTAACAAGAGCATGAAGGTCACCCAAATGCCAGAGCAAGGTTGAGTGATGATGTGAGCTAAGCAAGTTCTTGGAGAGGAAGGTATCCCTAAGACGTGGAGTAAGAGGGCAAGAAAGGGGAACTTGGTATTTGGAAGCAGGTCGTCAAAGCGTGGGTTGGCGGTTGCCTTTCACGATCTGCTGAACGTTCTTCCCTACCAGTTCCTCTAGATATCTCTACTACCTAGTGCAGGGCTTCCAGGGCATTGAACGTTCAAGATCTTTCTTGTGCTCGGGACCACAGGACGCCGACCACTCTGACGATGACAGACTCACGTCTCCTGCAGGTACAGTAATTGATATGACGGACGCCAGAAGCTGGATGTCAGAGACACTCCGTGTTCCACCGATCGAACTTTCCTAGGAAAGCTAGAAGCCTTTCGAGGTCCATGTTGTTATAGTGCTCGTGGTCGTAAAATTCAGTTAGTGTTAATCAGTCTGCGGCAATCTGACAATCGACGTTATCATCGGGGTTTTAGGAGTCGGCCTGCCACCCACCTCTGAGAAATGTCCACGATGGTACACGGTGAGAGGATATCAAAGTGCATGGAAGACTCCACACTAAGGTGTTCAATGTGACAAACTAGTCTTACACTTTGTGCGCTCATGTGTTCTGCATGTAGCCTCGTGAAGGTTTTCTTTGAGGCATTTGGGTTACCAAGTAAAGCCGTCTGTTCGAAGACGAAAGGTGGTATTAGGTTGGAAAACTACAGCTCATTTCCTAATCTCACATACGATAGGGATACATGTCACGAGAATTTGATTTGCAAACTAGGTCATCGGTGTTCTTCTCTGCGCAGCTGACTTTTCCCAAGACTAAATTGTAAAATGGTGTTGTTACTTTCGAGCTGAAGTCTCAGCTCCAACTTTTTTGACAAGAATTCTCAGGTTCGCGTAGCTCTTAGAACCTCTTCCTTTCGTTTTTGCAGGCAGGAAAGTCGCGGAGACAGGCTTTGATTCTCTCAAGGTTTTGGTCGACGTCGAGTGCTTGATGTGTGTAAATTGGTCGAAGAAATGTTGATAACATTTTAGTGGACGAATATACGCTCATTTATGTGTTGGCCCCCACAGAACAGCAAACGTGGACACCACAACCTGGTTCGAGATGGGATCTTCATGTCATAGAATGACCTTGCTTTGTTCATGTTAAAGCGTGAGCTTGCCTTGTCTTCTCAAGTTTAGTAACACGATATTCAAAAGTATGGTCTAACGATCTAAAGAAAGTATGGAGCTTCTTATTGCATATTCGACACAGTCTCAGCTGCTCAGAGGCATTTTCGTTGGTGTAGTCTTGTTCAGCCATGCCTCAGTACAGAGTGCATTCGTTCACTCAGAGAATTCTGCGGAGTTTCAAGCAGCACAATCTAGCCCAGAATCTATGGCGGTGTCTCGGGTGTCCGTCTCACCACCCCTAACTGATGAAAGTGGCTCAAATCAAGAAATCAAAGCATTGACAGCGAACGCGACTCAGTTACTACAGGATCAGTACGGATTTTGCATATCTAAAAGGTTCACTATCTGTATTCTTTTCGCCTCGCGGCTCCTCCGCTGATATTTTAGTGGGTCATGTAGATCTCTCACCTTCGAGGCTTGATTGAAAAACTGTTAGAATGTTACAGTAACTCTCCTCCTTTTAAAAAGAAGATAGTACTCTTGATGCCGTAAATAAGCATGTTGCTAATTTAGTCAACCATTCTTGCGATGTGCAGGGAGAGAGATGGCCTCGACGAAATTTTCGGTTTCCATAATTCGGATATAAATCTCTTGTTAGATTGTGATGCGCTGACTGGTAAGACTGAGACTTGATATCTGTACTCATTGACTTGTCATTTAAGAATTACAACGCACATGACGTTCAAATTTGGACTCCGAACATTTTCTGCGTGTGACTGACGTGAAGGTGGAACCACAACGGAACGCTTCTGTGTCATGAGCGAGCTGAGGCTTTACTTCGAAAACCTTGCAGCTGTTGACACGCCACCCCCAAACCTCAATTGCAATGCAACGGGTTGGGATCAAGCCTGCGAAGCTGGTTGGGCTGGACGAGTCTCCCAAGTCGTGGAGCTGGATAGTGAGATCGTTCCTAGTAGACTTTTGGACCCTCTACCCTGTTGCGCTGGATTCTTCTGCCCTCGTGGGCTCTCCTGCATGATTCGTGAGTATCTCACCTCTCTCAGTTGTTTGTAAATAGCCAACTAGTGGACAATATTAGGTGTGCCTCCTCATTGATTTCAGTTCGAATAAATTACTTATCAGACCTCAAACTGGTTGCAGCTTGCCCTTTAGGCGCTTATTGTCCACTCGCGACCTTGAACCATACCACCAATATGTGTGAGCCGTGAGTTCACCACTAACCTTTTGAGAGCCTGACTCGTTAGTGAAGCTATTTGAGGTTGCAGCTCGAACATGATTATCTGCAATCAATGATAAACAGTAACAAAAAATGCTATATATTTTTGATTATTTGTCTCAACCTTTCAATCGTCTGTGAGCGGGTGGAATTATCAGGTACGGCTACCAAGTGATGCAAAATAGTAATTTGTACGCTGGACAGTGTGGAGGAGCAGATAAATGGGCTGATGTCACCTCTGCAATCAACATATTTTGTCCAGCAGGTCATTTTTGCCCAACGCCCATTGAGAATAGAATATGTTCTGTTGGGTAAGCCCATTGCATCGTTTACGAAGTTTTGTAGCTTGATTATCATTCAATAGGTGATTTATTTGCTTATAATTGCATGATCATAATCAGCAACCAACTATGAGTTGACAGTACTGTAACTCAGTTGTGGATACGCAGCGCAATGTGGCAAATTCTTCAAAAATTTAACTGTGTGGGAGGGTTTTGGGGGCTTTGCAGACATTTTTGCAGGCTGGGATCCACAGATCAAGATAGTACGTCCTGGTGCTTTTCTTCTGAAAAAATGAAGACGATAAATCCATTTCTGCCTAAATCTCTCATTGATTGAAAGTAGCTCCTAACCATCTCTTGTCCGTTTGGATGCAGAATGTTCTCATCTTACAACTTGCCAAAGTGAAAATCTTCAAAGCCAGAACTTACAAGGTGTTGGAGGACTAATCCTTGTAAGTGAAAGACATCTCTCTTCTCTTCATAGTTCATTTCACTTGAATTACTAGAATGTGTTGTAAAGGGATATGTGATAAAACTTCTTACCAGATGATAGTAGATTTTCACAGAAACACGGACCAGAATACGCTTGTGTTGCCGAGCTCTGATAAAAGGTTCATATGGTGCAGGCTGGGTTATTGATTCTGTTGGTGGTGATCTACACTTGCTCTGACTGGTTGATGGACCTGCGACATAGACGTAAGGCATACGCACGAGATGTGGCAGCAAGGCAGGTTCTTGAGCACATTTCCAAATATAAGCTTTTCAAAGTCACCGCAAAACGGCAAGCTACAAAACTTACTCGAAAGCTAACTCGAACAATCAGTCGAGATCAGAGAGACCTTTCCATCAAAGAAGAATTGCAGGTGAATAACACTTCAAGTATGCCCATTGATCGTAATCAAGGTCACCGTTTTCTCAATACGTTTTGTGAATTTCCGCAATTGAAAACTTATGTGATTAATGAAGTCTGCAGCAAAATATCTTGTTAATATAAAACGAGGTGTCACATTATGTCAATCGATTATATAATATGTGAAGAGTCCATTGCCTTAAATTAGAGATTCTTTACGTACAAAATTTGGTTTCATTCAGCAATCTGGAATCGTGTCTGAAACGACACAGGAGAATCAACCTACCTCGTCAACACCATCTTCCTCGCGGAGGCTTTCTGCAAATTTATCTCCGAAATTTCAGGACGTTTTGAAGCTCATGACGGGATATTCTAAGAAAGCAATGACTCTCTCTACGAGTCCGAGAGTTTCCCTTCAACTACCAACTTTGGTCATTCCGACCAAGGATACATACAGCCAAAGGTTTGCTTATGCTTATGGTCAAATTGAGAAAGAGAGAGCCTTGGGACACAGAGGAACTTCTCCAGATAGCGAACAGGAAGACCAACCTGATGATGAAGTGATTCGTAATAGATTTGGGATTGAATTGACTTTTTCAGAGCTCTCTATGGTGCTCAAGAGCAGTGGGAAGAAAATACTGTGTAACGTCGCTGGGAAGCTCTCCCCGGGCAGAATTACAGCCATAATGGGCCCATCTGGCGCTGGGAAAACGACATTCCTGAACGGTTTAGCGGGGAAATCAACAAACACTCGAACAACAGGACAGGTTTTCGTAAATGGCAAGCCTGGGCCAATGCATTCATACAAACGCATCATTGGATTCGTGCCTCAGGATGACATTGTCCATGGCAGTTTGACTGTTGAGGAAAACTTGTGGTTCAGCGCAAATTACAGGTATTTCTACATGGCTTTGCTTTCTGGTGATGCCACTTATTATCGAGATCTGGTTTATAAAATGTAGGGCATTTGTTCATGAATTCATGATTCTGGTGCAGGCTTCCAGTCAACATGCCAATTTATGAGCGTGTTTTGGTGGTGGAACGTATCATTCAAGAATTGGGATTAGGAGGTATAAGAGATTCTCTTGTAGGTACTGTAGAAAAACGTGGAGTATCAGGAGGGCAGCGTAAAAGAGTGAACGTAGGATTGGAGTTAGCGATCGAACCTTCTCTATTAATCTTGGACGAGCCCACATCCGGCCTTGATAGTACATCCTCTAGACTTGTGCTTCAGGCCTTGCGTCGGGAGGCTATGGAAGGTGTTAATGTGATTTTGGTGGTTCATCAGCCCAGGTGCGACCCCTCTCATCCTCATACACAATCTTCCAAATTCCATCTTGATGATTTCAGATCTCCATCGATTTTCTGAACATGTAACTTATTCAGTAGCTCTCTCAAAAGTATTATGCAACGGGCATAGATGCGCATCTAGTCGCCGCATCCTGCGGTAAAGCCTTCGGTGATAATTTGTCTCACGAGTTGTGTGCATTGGCGCAGCTATGGGCTCTTCAAAATGTTTGACGATGTTATGTTTCTCGCTAAGGGAGGTTACACGGTGTATTTGGGACCCGTAGTTGAGGTTGAAGCTTACTTTTCAGGCCTTGGCTTGATAGTACCTGAAAGAATCAATCCACCAGACTACTATATGGACGCGTTGGAAGGAATCCCTGTGTCTAGTTCTCCTCAATTAGACCTAAGAACTATGCCCATTATGTGGATGAGGCACAAGGGTTATCCGATTCCCAATGATATGGTCGACCTTGCTGGGGATGTGGAGTCCACTCCTACTGAGAATCCATCGCTTGTCCATCCTGAATCTTCTAGATTTAGCGCCACGTTCTTTCAACAGGCATGTCAGGAACTTTATCAAAAGATTCTAATGACTTGGGACGAAATAAAAACTGCACTGTCAAGAGTGGATAACTTGTCTGGGCGCCAAACACCTGGATTCTTCAGGCAATTAAGAACCATTCTACACCGGTAAGCTTTACCACCTACATATTCAGACTCCTAAAATTCCATACAAAACTGCACTGGTACAGGATGCTTCAGAATCTGGAAACTTCGCATTTGAATTTATTTTAAAAAAAAAAAATTGGCTTCATTCTCGAACATGTTCCATATTATATCGACCAGCGAAACCTACTCCTCCTGTGCTTTATTATGCAAGAAAGAATTTTTGGCAAGAGATGGATCAAATGTCTTGAAAAGAATGTGTGGAGCTGTGGAAACTAGAGTGGCGAAGCAGAGGTTTCGTGAAGTAAAGCTCCATATTCAAGACTACGTCATCTTGCTTATTGCTGGGGGTTGCTTGGGCGTGCTTTCGAACATGGATGATACCAACCTGGGATCCGAGGGTTACCATTTCACAATCATTGCCTTAGGTACAAGAGCTTGACCTGTGAATGTGATGAACTTGGTGCTTTCTATGCCATTAAAACAGTCCTTGATTTTCATCAGAACTGCCTTTGTAATTTCGGAATCCCTGAAAACTTCATGTCTAAATAAAATTTGATGAATAGTAATCATTTTCTCCTTTGGTGTGTTTCCACAGCTTTATTGATCATGATAGCATCCCTCAGAACCTTCTCAGCCGACAAGATTCAATTTTGGCGTGAAAGTGCTTCAGGAGTGAATCGCTTAGCCTTTTACCTTGCCAAGGACATGGCAGATATCTTCAATGTCGTTATGAAGCCTCTCATTTATTTATCGATGTTCTATTTCCTCAGCAATCCGCGGTCATCTTTTCTGTCCAACTATGTGGTGACTCTGGTGCTAGTTTACTGTGTGACTGGTTTGGCATACATTTTAGCCATTCTCCTTGAGCCAGCTCCAGCACAATTGGTATAATTTCTACACTACTGTGAATCAATTTATAGCGACACTCGTAACGATTTTCCTTTGTTTCCTGAAGAATTAGTCAGGAACGTTCTTATCTTGTACATGATTTTAGCAGAGACAGATCCTTTCGGAATTCATACTTTGTATTGCAGTGTGCAGTTTTTGTGCCCGTGATCGCATCACTCATCGTGTCCTCGAAAAAAACTAGATTCCTTCCCACTTTGTCCTATTTCAGCTATGCAAGATATGCTCTTGAGGCTTATGTTCTTGCCAATGCAGAACGGTCAGTATTTCCATCTACTATTCTTCCAGCTTGTCGAATTGAGAAACCATTACTTCTATTGCACCTGCTCATATATCTTGCGAGTCCAGTTATTTCAGTTCGCTAGAGTTAAGTGGAGATGTGAACGTGAGACCAAATTAGTTTGTTAAGAGGTTTAGAGTCGCATGCTCATGCAGTCCTTGCTCGCAGGTACGAAGGTGTTTGGGTGATTACACGCTGCGGTCTTCTTGCAAGTCAAGGCTACCGACTGGAAAATTGGAGCAAGTGCCTGTTGATTCTCTTCGGCTATGGAGTTGTTGCACGCATTGTGGCGATACTTAGTCTGCTTTTCAGCCACAGAAATAGGCAAAAATGACGGACGCTATCTGCATTGGCTTCATGTTCACAAAATCCTTCGACTGGAGTGTGAAGGAGGTAGAGCACTGGAGTACATCTTCCTGACAAGTTCTCAAATTTCTTTGTACTGATCTTCATAGCAGCTCTTTCCATCTTAAGTAGAATGTCTTCAAACCAACATCCTGTACAGCAGTCACTACTGCCTTCGTGTTGCTGACGAGCATATCTTGATTATAACATTATGTTGCTAACGAGCGTATCTTGATTATAATCCTCTTGCATGTGAATGTTACGTTTACATTCGTTTAGTTCGATCTGCACAGCGTTGCAATCACACTACAACTATCACACATGAAGTTAAAAGATACCATTGCCATTGTATCAAGTTTCAACTCAGTATGTAAGCTTCGCAGAATTCAAGTACAGTTACTGTTGGAGATTCCTGTGGCCGAGAAGTTGGGAATGCCTTTCATTTTCAAGGCAATTTTTCGTAATTTTTTTACAGGTAAGATTCATAGTAGTAGTCTATATGTGAAATTGTGTTAGATCGGTCATGTTTATTTTGTTGCTATGCGTACTTTGTTGATTAAGACTAATAAAATTTTGGACCTGATAGTGTTAGATGCTTCATTTGTGACACTGTTGGCAGGCGATTACCTGTTTTTCTAGGGGAACCGAGATGCAGTGCGCAGTTAAGTATCCCCAACGCTTCTTACTCTCAAGGATTTTTAGTTAAACTTGGTCCACCCAGATTTAAGAGTCCAGCCTTGATTTCTTTCTACCCCTCACTAGTACTTGTTGAACGACCCTATCTGCCAAGATACTTGGAAAAGGAAACTAAAGACGGAAAGACCGTTTGTCACTCTAACGCCTATACCATCTGCAAAGTGCAAGTTCCAGTACTGAACCAGGAGTCATTCATCTCCAGATAAATTATTGAATTGTTGCAAGTATAAATAGTGGATAATCTATACAAATGAAAGGACTATTATTTTGGTGTAATTCAGTTCAGATTTCCATAAACATCGCGGATGACATGTCTATATACTCATATCCTATGTATATCGTCGTATAGCTATTATAGGCAACTGAACAGCACATGTACTCCTTGAGCTGGAACCTGAGTGATCACAAGGATTAACATCTACCAGTCATTATACAATTTTCCATTCACTAACAGTGAAGGTTATTGTTTCTGAGCTGCTAAAACCATGGACGATTCTAAGAGCAGCTATGTGTAAAGTGGTTTACTTTTCAATTAGTGTACAAAATATACGATCTCAGATCCTCCTCCTTTACAAAGTATTTACTATAAAATTTGCTAAATGTTGAAATGGTACTATCAGACATGGGATGTCTATAAATTGTGTGCTCAGGCCTTAGTAATATGTGTTGTTATGATACAAGGTGGTGAAATATCTTTCAGGTGACAGGTCGGTAAGCATGATAGATCTCTCCCCGCAGAGACTCGATTGGGTTATGCTCTAGTGTGTACCGCTCTGGACCAGTGTAAGTCCCAGTCCTCTCTAAGAGAGACAGAGCTTCATGTCGCCCATACATAGAGGAATAGAGTTGTAGATACTCATAATCCTGCAATACCCATACAAAGTGTAGATAGTCAAGCGGGCAAGGCATTGCCACATCACAAGAAAGGTACTACAATCGCCAATAATGCTGCAATTAACACAGTGGGCCCATCATTCCAAGATACCAAAAGAAATACACACAATAAACTACAGCTTGTGATTTATGTACCTGCATTCCACTGAGAAGACGCTCCAGGCGCACAGATGCAACAGGCAAGGTAGCACCAATATTAAAGACCTCTCCAGGATAGAAGAGGACTCCATCTCCTGGAGGCAATCCGCGCCGAAAGCGAATCTGCAGTGGCAAAACGATGAAATCACTAAAATGATGAAGCAGTTCAATCTCAATTCAATCAAATCCAATCTAATTTTTCATATTGAAACAAAATATACCAATTTGAGCCACTTCATTGTCAGAAGCGTTGAAGTACGTAGATGAAGCCTCCAAGGGTTAACACAAGTACCTCAGCAGATGGAGAAGACGCCTTCTCGTAACAATTTACACCCCAATACAAAAACCCAGTGCCGCCCTCTTTCCATACACGCCATATAACTGCTCGGTGTTGAGTTCCTCGCATACCTAAATGCCAATTTGGGTGAAGCTCTCCTGGACCCATGCACACATATGTCCACCACTCCTAAAAGCGAACGAGCATGCACGGTTACAAAACTAAATAAGTACTGGGTCCATTGTCTTCAGAAGCAAGTTTTGATCAAACGTTATTTTCCTGAATCACAATGTCCACCTGAGGTACCCGCAGAGCTTAGATTTCGAAGTACTAATCCCTAGCGAATGTGAATATCATGGACTTCAGTTCTGGTACCTCACTACGATCGAACTGAATTTCATCCGTTATTTGCTTCACGAGATCCTCCCTGCCTCCCAGAACCCACTCGCTGCAAAAAAAAGCATAGCTGTTGGCCTTTCGGAAAAGACAATACACGTGGTAAAATAAAGAGGCGGATTAAGACATACCAAAATTAGTTACGGTAAATTAACGAGCAAACAATCTATTAATCTCAAAGCAGGTAGGGAACAGGGAAGATAATCATATATCCATCTCTCGATCTCTCCAGTCAACCACTATGCCTTCGAAATCTAGAGTCAGGAATTTAATGACTAGATTTCAAACGCAAGGTGTATTAAAAAATGAGGGCAAATCCAATGTCAAATGTTGATATTCTTGTTACTCACCTAGTACAAAATATTTGTGTGTGTGGACGTAGAAATGTAGGCACCTTGAGAAAGGATTCAAACCCATCCAGCTTCATAGAGGGATCACTTGGGCCTGGATCAAAGATAATACCATAGAACCCTGAGTTACACTCGAGCCCACAGAATAAAGATCATATAAAGCATCTCAACCAGATAAAGTGAGCTAGATATATAAGTGAACAATGGTAATGGCATATTTATGTTTTCTTTATTCACCACAATAGTAAGTCGTCAGAATTCGTGCATCAGGTGCTGTATTTCGAATCTCCTCAGCAATGCTGCGTATCACCTCGTACTGCTCAAATCCAACAGGCTGCAAAGAACAGCATGTAAGGTTGCAAGTCAAGTGAATTTCAACAAACACCAATGTGTCTAAAAAAAAAAAAAGTTCCCCCACCCCCCCCCCCCCCCCCACCCCCCAAAAAAAAAAAAAATCCACACGCACACGCACACGCACATGCAAAAACAAATAAGTAAATAAACAAAACCAAAAAAATATTATATATATATATATATATATATATATATATATATATATATATATATATAACGAAAAATAAACTTAGTCTCTTTGATGATAAATTGAGTGTTGCTCGAAAACCTTTTGACAAATATCATAAGCCGGAAGTTTAGAAAGTAATAGCGCTGTTCTACAAGAATCTGAGGGTATTGATCTGAAGAATGTAGAAACCTTGAAAACTACAGATGGAATCATTAAGCATGATCAGTTTGAATTACACCGGTAGGACTACCTACAACTTCAGAATCACTTCAAAGCAGATCCTAACATACTGACATTGATTAATACACCATGTTGAGAACGAGTTGAGATACGTGCCTCGTCCCACAAATAGAAATAAGCCTTCTTCCAATGAGGTTTGGTCTTCAAAATCTCCAGTTCACTTTTCACGACATCCTTTGCAGTATCTGAGCTGCATTGATCCACTCGCACCCGTCCCATGTTTGTCATAATCAAAATATATCAACTTATGCCATAAGTACGGCTCTTAAAAAGAAGGCATAGAGAATGTAACACTTACGAAGATAATACTGGAATATAGGGGACTGCATATGCTGCTAATCTTGGATCTGAATAATAATCCTCCGATTTCGGATGTGTTGCTGCATACACGAGAAACTTTCATTAGTAACGCAGGCTGGCCATGAATTCTGCGGCTAGCCAGATATAGACATGATGAAATAATCACGTTGTCAAGTATCTCTACCAGCAGATACTACCAGCAAGCTCGTGATAGAGATGAACGAGTGGAGAGAGGCTTACCAGGATAGGGACAGGTATAGGTCAAGACACGCATATTATCACCCCAACGGCAAAAATAGGGGCTGAGCCGATATTGTAATAACCAATCGAAATGCATGTTAAGCGACTTGAACCACTCCTTGCTTCCATGCTTCAAATTATATCTGTCCTCTATCACTGTTTCAGATATCTTATTACGCTGTTAAGAACTGACAAGAACACATCAACCTACTCCCAGCATTAAAAAAGTAAGCACATCTTTAGAAAAACCTACATGTCCACTTCTGTCCACCCAATTTTAGAACTGCACTTAAAAATAAGCTTGAAAGTCCTTGTAACGTGAAATATCAGAAAAGAAAATGAGGGATACACCAAAGACGGCTGGTAGAGATGGAGTAATAGGCAAAACAAAGTCCCATACAGTAATGCTGAACTGCACTTGGACAGAAGGGGATGCTTGAAATTCTTCGTCTATCTCCATTTTTCCAAAATCTTCGCAGCCAGCAGATAATAAAGGTGATTGAAGAACCTGGTGCAATCCTTCACAAATTGAGCGTAGAGCTTCTGTCTGCAGACAATATACCGTTGCTCCGTCAGCATATAAAAGATCAAATACCAGTATGGAATCATTAAACACGGGGTAGCTCGCACATTAGAATGATTCCTACAGAACAGAAAACAACAAAGAGCAAGCAAGTAAAACAGAACCCGAAAAGACGAATGAATACATGGAGATGAAGACAGCTACATTATCAACGCATCAAACTCAACACTTTTCTCTTCCCAAAAACATCACATTGACCGTCTGTCTAGAATATTTGAAGCAAAATTCAAAACTGCAGCACCATGACCACAGAAACTACATCAAGTAGACAGACATCGCATGCCACAAATTTTGGCTACTTGTAAACTTTCAGAATAAATACTAAGGTTTCGAGCCTTTCTGCGTAACAGCGGTTAAAGTCACAAACCAACACGAAAGGCAACTACAATTAGTCAAATAGAGACCTGTATAAAACTATGCTAGACACTTGTCTGGACCTTAGACAGGGTAAAATGCCCGAGAATTCCAAGCAGTCCTTTAGAACACCACTCGCTGTTATGCGTTAACCCAAAGCTTTTAGCAAAACCCACTTAAACAGTAGATTGATGTGACTGCACACTCGTAGGCTATGAATCATAATTTATCGCTGCATGAAAATGCTCACATGCAACCATAAACTTAAATAACTTACACAAAAGGAAGAGCCCAACGGTGGGGCGTCTTATCTCTCACCTCTGAGCAGTGCAACCATCCCTCACCGTTGGGTTCATCTAGAACTCCACTCAACAAACAGCATTTCATTTCAATGCCAAGTGATGTAGAAGGCGCACCAACACTTCAGCTGATTCATTACTAGCAGCTTCAGCTTGGGCTAAGAAGCCCTGTAAATCCTTCTTCATTTGCAACTTCTCAGATTCAACCTTCTCCGCTGCAAACCTGCACAACAGAACCAGATGTACATGATATTGAGATTGGAAGATGCGAAGTTAATATTTAATATCCTTGACTTAATTATATGCATTCACAGGCTAACCTGCAGACTCGGCCAGATATATCCAAGCATGAGTGTCTTCAAATTACAAATACAATTGAATGCAACATTAGATAACAGGAACAAGAAGCTTACTCGGTCTCTCCTCGAACAGCTGTAATCCAGATTTCTCCTATGTACACACCAGGCGGCTGTGTGACTGGAACATCAAACGACACCCAAAGAGCACAAGTCTCTCTGCATTGTACGAAATTGTGAGGTAAAAACATAAGTCTTGTGACCATGACATCATCCATAGTTTGGATACGTTCGAAATTTCCATAATTGTATAACCAAGATGTGATGAACAAATTATAAAGGTGATTCGGAATCTGACCCTGGAAGCAATCCAATCCTTGATGGCAAGTCGATGGGTACAAGCGCATCCGGCACTCCCAATATTGGCACCACTCGCCGGATTGTCACCTCCTTCCCTGCATTCAATCTGGTTGAACACATAACTCTGCAAATGCTTAGGTCTCTGGTACCCCATAACAACTAGAGTGCTTAAACATATCATCAGCTCAGAATTGTGCTTTGGCGTAGTTGCGCTTCTCCACGCAAACTTGACTCCTTAATGAGATCATCCCACATAATGAACTTCATTCATGTACAGTTTCATGAGCTCATTAGCGCTTTTGTTGAATTCAGAGTTTGAGGAAGTACATTGTTACTCACCTATCACCAGAGGGACTGCAAAAATCAGAGCAGTGTATCTGGAGATAACCAACCATGTCACCACTAGTCCAAGACATTTTGGGCCGCAATGCAATTTGTGCACTCTCTCTTTCATTTCTGGCCGCCAACAACGACACCTACACCAAGCCACAGAAAAGTTCGGTCCAGAACAAGAATCCAATGAACACCATACCTTTAAGGCGACAACAGAACACGTAGAATCCGTCCCTACCCGTTCCAGCGGCCGTGGAGGCTCTTGATGTCCAATAATGGCCGTGCTGGGCATACACCAGACATGGACAAGATCAGAAGTAGGCTGTCTGGATACATCAATCTCACTTGCGAGAATCGTAGTACCAGTATGAGAACCGTCGTTCCAGCCATATCCAGTGCCTCCCCCTCCCACACCTTCTATCGGAGGAGGGGCCATGAAATCCACATTGTTCTGCATTAGGCACCTAACCTGTCCAAACCCACGAAAATTTAGAAATTGCGATTACTCAATCCATACTACAGAATTAAGAATCGCAATCAAACTCGACAAATTTCTATGCATTCCAACGATCAACTCTTGTCGTATAGAAATCCGACCTCAACACACAGCAACGAATCTAAAAAGGACCGATTGCCCGCGCTGGCTCACAGAATTCAAAGCACCTTATTCTGACTGGAGAATTAAGCTATCAAATCCTGAGAAATGCAAACAAACGCTCACAACCGACGACGATGGACACTGGCTCCTCGCGCAGAGGCTCACAGGTGGGGTTGCAAGCCCCCTTGCAGGTCACCCCCCCCCCCCCCCCCCCCCCGTTAATGCCTGTGCTCCACCGCCACTTGGGCGTCGTCGAACGCCGACTGAACGAATGCCGTCGACTATTTCTCGTTCGTTCAGCTGTCATTGCCTAGTTCATCTATTCCACCAGAGCATCTCCAGCGCTCCCTCTATGCGGCTTGTACCTGCACTTTGTATGGTGGAGATGCTCATCTTGACACATCCCCACCGTCGATACGCTTGCTTACAGGCCTTGACTGAGGAAGCCGGGGAAACGGTCCCCGGCGCATTACATCTCCCTTCAAAACTACACCCAAGTGCGAGTCCCTCGTGCATATGAAATTTTCATTGTTGTGTTTTTGCATAATTATATTCTCACTGTTATGTTAAATTCCTTCGATACATTCACAACTAATGTTTTACCAAAAATAAAAATAAAAATAAGATCGAGCCTTTAAAAATATGAAACAATGTCTTTTTGTATATTTGATTCGAGAAGTGTTTTTTCATTCCGTCACGAATGACGTCGTTCGTGGATGATACTACCATCCATAGACGGACATCGAATCTGATTGACCGGAGAAAACAATTCATTCATCTAGAAAGTCATTCATCCGTTCCCGGCGATCCTGGATGCTATTCACACGGAGGGAGACTTAAACAGTGAGTAAGAGCATTGATTCGTTCTCACCACGGAGTATTAGTTTCCAGATCAGGAGAGAGTGAATGATTCAGTCTCAGGGAGAAGCGCTTTCAAGGTGAGATCAAGGATTCGTTTCGAAATCTATGGGAACCTCCACGTGAGCTCACCAGATTCCAACACCAGCTATCAGTACTTCATTTGGTTTAGGGTTACGTCGATGATGCGGTGTGCAGGCGAGACGCTCACCAGCCCCGCTTTCGAGGAAGTGGTGGTCTCCTACTCTCGGAAATTGTTAACGACCATGGTTGCATTGTAAACGCAGATGGCGCTGGTGCACTGGTACTTGCTTCGCTTCGGGATTTGCTGCTGGACACAGTTGCCGAGACTTTGCAACCATTTTCGCAAGCACTGCTACGGCTCTTGCCTGGCACTGCCAACCTTGGGCATGCTTCACAGTGAGCAACGGATAAGCATGAACCGGTTGATTATTCACTCAATCTGCTTTTACGAAACTTGGAAATATTGTATTTAATCATGTCTTTAATGTGTTTGTGGTAATACTAAGTTTTGCACAATTTTTAATAGCTAAACTTTAAAATAAAAATATAGTTATCTAAAGATGTTGAATTTCTTTCAAGTTTGCCCTAAAGCCATTCCATCTGTTTTAAATTGTTAGACGTTAATCATCAATTCATGCATGTAAAGATTCACCAACAGTAAAAATTTGTGTGTTTGCATAAAATATTAAAAGTAATTTTAATCATTTATGTTAAACTACTAATTATAAAAAATAAGTATCAATAAAAGCAGATAAAATTTATCATGAGTTTTTATGCTCATGTAACGTCATTTCAAAATGATACATAAAGTTTTTGTTTGCCTTCTTTTATAAAATTCCTAAATTTTTTATTGTAGATATATTTTTTGAATTCTATTTTAAATAAATTTGTATAAATTTTATTTAATAATATTTCTAAACTCATATTTATTCCAATTACAAAATAACCTTGATAATGACAAAATTAGCATCAAAAAATTAAAAAATTATATTCATTAAAAATTAACTAAAGAACAAGAGGCTATCATTTGTCCAATACTAGAGTCAAGCATTTCAATCAAGATCATTCTCATCACCTTGCAAGAGGAGGATAGTGACATCAATATTACAACCAAAAAACTTTATAACGTCAAGCAAAAGATAACAAAAAAGCAAATGGATGGAAGGACATTGCTTTATGAGTTGATTGACATTTTTTCAAAGGAAAACTATAAGATCAAATATAATGTAGATGCTCAAAGAAAGATCATTCATCTTTTTTTTTGTCCATTCCAAATTGGTGGACCTCATGTGGATCAATCACTAGGACTTCTTTTTAGATGCTATATAGTGTACAAATGTCTACAACTTTCTATTGCTCCATGCTATTAGATCTATGACCTTCAATATCACATTCTAACATGCATCTAGTTTACTTTACATGTGGCACATTAAGAAGAACATTGTTAAAAATTGTAAGCATTATTTTAATAATATGGATATATAGAGGGATTTTTTTTGAAAGAATGTCATATGGTATAGTGCTTAGTCTCATAATTTTATTTATTTATTTGTTTATTTGACATCTATACTAACATCTACTGATAATATATTTTACAAGTGATGTATGTTAAATCTAAAGAAGCCTTTAATGAATTGTAGACCTCATTCAAGACAAAGTACAAGTCCACAATAACATATCAAGAAACAATTTGGTATCGTGCCAATATTTGAATTGATCTTTTCCAAGAAAATTTTGGATGGATGAACCGCCTCTGTCACTTTGGTCATGCTATTACTTCTCGTAGCACATATCGTAGACTGAAAATATTTTTGGATACAAGCACACTCGATTTTTTGTTGTAAAAGTATTGATAAGTTCATTAAAAACTACTTAGGAGAAAACATTACTAACTTGGCAAATGAGAGAAAGAGATCTCTGCTCTTTTCTTTAGAAATGCCAAAAGAAGAAATCTTTCAAAATATTTGAAAAAAAGTTTCTCATTTTGAGCTTTCAAAGGTCAAAGAGAATGCAAGTTTTGTGTGCTTTTTTAAACATTCTTTAAGATTAGATATTGTATTGCACATTTTGATCCATAAAATCTTCAATTTTCAATTAGGCATTGCAAGGCATCCAACTCAATCAAATGATAAACCTTGCGCATCAGTCTTCATAACAATTTGATACATGCCACACTCTCATATCTTCCAAAATCTAATCATTGTCAAACAAAGGCTTGAATTTTTGGACTTTGACCCACATTGACATATTTGGGAAGTGCAATCCATATACCTTGAAGCAATTAAAACCCAAGAAGCATTATTATTGGTCATATTGGAAGCAATCATGAACAACTTTGCTACCTTCTTTAATCACTAACAAGAAACTACGCTTAAAGAATTGCATAGGTTATCATAGGAGGTACCACAAGTAATTGGAGATTCAAAAGTTGTGAGTACCAAGGGACATTTATGCAAAGATGCTACTACCTTGAGAAGATCTATGAAGCTTTGAATACCTTGAAGGCTAGCAAAAGCCAAAAAAAGTGGAAACTTATAGTGCTTGCAATCAAATTGGCCACTACAAGAACTTTAAAAAAATCAACCCAGAAGGTCGGAAGGCAACAATTGGCATTATTGACAAATGTCTAATACTATTATCCAATGGTGCCGACAATACATGTGCTGGTGCCATTGTCTTTTTTAAGATACCTGTTTCTTCTTCTTGTGAAAAAATTACATGTAGAAATTGTGCCACCAAGAATTGAGTGGAGAGTATAGTATGACAACAAAAAATGTAGTAAGGCATCATTGTAGGAGTTGTTGGAAAATGGCAGAAGGGAGGAGGGATTGGACACTTTTTTACCATAAGATGGTAGATCTTTTTGTAGAGAGCTATCAAAAGAATGTATCTCAAGAAATTTAGAGGTGTACTCATAATCAGGCCCATATATATATATATATATATATATATATTATAATATTTATAATATTAAAAATATATTATATATATTATATTTTTTGTCATTTAACCATATAATTATATATGCATTTCAATATTCTTCTAAATATAATTTAAGGTTTTTTACCACCATATATTTTCTTAAACATTATCAATACAAGGACACCTATAAAATATAAATTATGTGTATATTATCTTATCTTACATCCGTAAAAATATTATATATGTAGTACACTTTTGGTTAATTTAAAATATTATACTTTATACACGTTGACAATCTATTTTATTCTAGAATGAAGAATACAAACATTTGTTTTGAAATACTATCTTTAAAACAGTATTATAAATTGCAATGGTTTTTATTTTTATATTAATTTTTAATAAAAATAATTAGATTTTATGTCTCAAATATATTTTTATAAATATTTTAAACTCATAAAATCTTTTGGAGATTGTTGTAAAACTCAATATTTCTTTAAATCTTTTTGAAAATATTTCACAAAATATGTATTTTTAATTATATAAGTAGCCTTCAGTGATGAATACAATATAAATGTAAAATTAATAACATTGTAGGTGTGTGTATTATTGCACCATTTTAAAATAATGTCTTTTTTTGTATGTCCTTTATTCACCACTTTACATACCATAATTAGAAATTTTCTATGGTAATATTGCCGAAATTCTAATATATTTTAGACCAATTCCTAAGATTAGTACAAAAATTTAAGATTCTTTTTGTGGCTCTTTTGAAAAATCATTTTATATATTCAATCAATGTCTAAAAGGACGGTGCCAATACATTGACATATTCTGTTGATAAATACAGTTTTAAATGGAACCATGTTAAAAGTCCAAACAAAATGTTTCATACAATTTATAATTGCATATTATACTATTATTTTAGTGAAAACTTCAAAAAACATAGATTATCATATACTATCACCATAAGCTAAAAGAAAGTACATCAAGAAAGGACTTCGGTATTTTAAAAGCTTGTTAATCTATAGATTTAATTCTGAATACCAATACCAAGTTGTTTAAGTTTATAAATAAATGAATAAATAAATAAAAAAACACTCTACATAAGGCAATTGTAAGATCAACGATTTATATTTAGGTTTTTACTTACATAAAATTTAGAATCTTTTTTATTTTTATATCTTTGATCTATAAAAATATAATGTCTAATATTATAATAAATGTTTTTTTTTAAAAACTAAATTATCATATTAATTGGATAATATATTAATAAAGAAGTGTCTCAAGTTTTGAGGTACAGAATTAGAAAATTCATTTTTTTAAAAAAAATTAGTAATTAAATTTAGATGTAGACACCTTCTTGTATTTTTAAATGAATATTTTTAGTCGGAGGTTATATGTGTGTCTTTTACAAACACTCATAAAAACATATTAAAGTTGGCAAGCTTGTGACAGATATTCTCATAAAAACACTTAAGTTTCAAAAATATATACAAGAAAATCTTCAAACTAAACAACATAAAAGAATATGTTTAACATATATATATATATATATATATATATACACACACATATAAACACAATTTTATTATTTCAGAAAATTGAATCTTCTTACATAAATACTTGAATTTGGAAGGCATTTGTACCAAGAAAATTAAAGAATAATCATATTATTTAAATAATATATATAATTTTATTTTATCAATTCTTGAATATTAACATATAACACAATAATAACATTTGATAATCATAATTATTTTTAGCAAGAAGTGCTAATTAAGTAAAATTTGAACTTGTTTTTGTCATGTATGAATTTAAGAGGAGGTAGAAATTGTTTTTGTGGTGGAATTCTACGTGCCATGGTGAAAGGTTTTTCTAAACTATGCAAAGAATTAGTGTTTTTTCTTCTTACTGACATTCAACATTTCAATTTTAATTATGATCAGTTAGATCTGGTTAAATTTCCAAAAATAATCAGACATGTACAGAAAAACACCAAAAGGATGAATATAAACATTTATCACACAAAATGAATTAAGTTCCAAAGGAATGCATACAATGAAAACTATTGTTCCTTACATATGAGAACAATTAACAAATTCGACATTGCCACGTCCTCAAACGGGATGATTAATTGGGTCTAGTAAGCCCAGTGACACAAACATGTGCAGACAGATGTTATCTGTGAAAACAAGGCCTAATACTACCCAACAAGTTGATTAGGTGGTCATATTCCACAGGTGGGTGTAGACTCAATAAACTGATTGGTTTTCAATGGATAAGTGTTGAGGAAAATGTAACAGTTTGGTGTGGGGTTGGAATGTCCACGGGAAATAATTTAAGAATTGAAGGCAAACCTTAAACTAACATACTTGAGAAGAATCACAATTGCTAACCCATGCAAGAGCAATGCAGCTATGAAAAGGTACAAAGACAAAAAACAAAAAACAAAAATAAAACAAAACAAATCAAAACAGTTGGGTCTTAATGTACCTGAGTTTTGTATAAACAAGAGGTTAATATAATTCAGATTTTTGCTTCATTTTCTTAAATGCCTTTTCTAACATTCTGGTGGCATTTCTGCCGTAAGGTCAAATACTTGGAATCTGTGCATATTTTCCACACCTAGTATTTACTAATCTCACTCAAGTGACCTTCCACTTCATGGAGGGACGTGAGAGCTGCAGTAGCACGCCTGTTAAATAGGCAGAAAATTTTAAAAAGTCTTTACAAATATGTTATTCGTAAGTAGTTGGAAGCCAGACGTCACCTGAATCTTCGGGACGGTATACTTATATTTGAAAAGCGTTACCTATGATAAAGAAAAACAGTTCATTGATGCCGTAATTGGAATCAAGTAAACATTCATTTGCTAACGGGAAGTCTCATTGAAGTGAAGAAGCACTGGCTCGTTCTTTCAAGAGTCCTGCAGCAGCTCGATGCAAGGTCTTTTCCACCTCGATGATAGTTGGACTTGAGCCATCAGAAGCACTTCTCAGCTGCATGTGCAGAAGAAACGGTAGAACGTGACGGATGAGAAGACATACACCAAATAAAAAAATTGTTCGACAAGAACCAATAGCAAAAAATCTGCGGCAAAATTGAAGTACCTTAGCTTCCAAGACAGTAGAAAGAATGTCATCTGATATGGAAGACCTCACACCACATACGTCAAACTCGAGATCATTGAGTGACTGCAGCACGTCGACAAGCAGCGTTTGTCGGTAAGGGCAATGGAGCTTGACAATAGCTACATCGTTATTCATAGAAACCCGCACATTGACGTGCCCAGGTTTGAAGCTTTCTTCAGTAATCGTACATTCGGACGTTGCTGCCTTGTCCTCGTCTATTACGTGCACAACACCAGCACACTCCAAGTGCTCTCTGGTGGTATTGGTGATCGTTGCATCCTCATTTGCTGTTCCAAATTGTCTCGGTGTTCCATCCTGCGTGTTGTTACTCTCCAAAGCTCTGAGTTGGCTCTGAAGCTCCTTCACGTATTCAATAGCAACTCCAAGAATGGATGCTTTATCCATCTGCACAGTACCCGCACCCATTCAAGCTTTCGACTACTTTCATGTTCAAAAGCTTTTCAGAACAACTTAGTACAATCGAATTTGCACTGAAAATGTAATAGAACCAGAACACACCTTGGAAACATTAGGAATGAGCTCACGCAATGCCACGAATCTGTCGTTCAGTTTCTCCCGCCTTCGACGCTCAGCTAGTACATGGCTAGCGGATGTTTCTTCGGAGCTTGGTACTGGTTTTTGAGATCCCAAGTTAGAGGTCCTATCCTCAACAGCGCGGTCAGTAAATATAAAGCTGCTGTCTACTTTATTCTTCCACGCACCATCGTAGAGGCGAGTGACACGAAACAAAGCCTCTTTCAGAATCTTTTGCCGATTTTCAGCCTTCTGCGATTTCTGAGAAGGCGTTGAGTTTTTCTTCCACGAACTAAATACTCTCCCAGGTAAAACACCCGATTGATTTTTCCCCCGATTTTCTCCTTTATACAGCCTTGAATCACTGCCCTGTAAAGTGAAGATCGACTGTCAAAAAAAATCGTCGGAATTAATTCGAAATTAACTTACATCAACTAATACAAACTTGTGGTGACATACGTAGAGATTATCCAATAACTTCTCATTTTCCAAGTTTGCTGAATTTTCTCTAGCTTTAACACTGCTAAAAGGATACATTTCGGGTTACTCTGATGATTATTCCTAAAATTCTGAGGAACATAAAAACCAAAACAGTTCAATGTAAAGAATTAAAAGTTTTAACTCTCTACTAGTGAGGCCAACTTGAGAGCTTGGAGATAAGCGCTGCCAATAATTGCATTATTACACATTGATTTAAGACAACGGCAAACTGCAAAATATTCAAAAAGTAGGAGAGATCAAGCTCGTGAGGCTTGGTGCCCAAAGTGCCTGGTTTTGCTGAAAGAGGTGTGTATATGTCCTTTGTTCCTGACTAGTCGGATCCAATAGGCTATTTACTCTGTTCATAGATGTTTCATTCTCAACCTCTGCCATTTGAGAGCTGGAAAGCTTGGCCTTCTTCGAGCTTGCGCCTACATACCGTATCAGTCCAGCAGTTCAATCTCAAGAAGCTTCTGTCCAATTACAAGGTAGTTGCAAAATAATCTGCACCGACTTAAATGGAGACAGGAGACAGTCGACCAAACAGCCATATTCACTGGAGCACACATCTGTGCATAGACTTTCAGCGTCGTGTCTTCAGTAACGAACTGAAAGGTTAAAGAGTTGTCTCACGCAAAGGCAACAGATATGTACAAGATGTTTGCCTACCATATTCTGCAAGTTGGTTACAGTGAACCACATTTTCCGATTGCTGAGGACTGTTCTTCGAATGCTCGTGCTTTTGCTCAGTGGTCACGGAATGCTGTGGGTGGCTATGCCTTTTTCGTTCCATGAAAAAAGACGAAACATGTTGCACTATATTCGAGTCCTCTGGTACCTGCTTAAGATGAACGTCAGGGCCGCCATCGTCTTCACGAAACCCAAAAGAATTTTCGTATGGGATTGTGGAAGGTCCAGGTAGCTTACATGTTCTGTTGTTCCGAACTCTACAACGCCATCCATCAAAGGAAAGCAGAAAATCGTCTGTTTACCATCACATTACAATAATTTGTGAGTATCTTTGCACATATTCACTACATACAAACAGGAAAAGAATAATTTCCAATGTCGATTTGACCGCAACAGAAACATGGCAATCGTCAGCAAAGAATTTACCTGAATGGAGGCACTCTTCTTGCATAAAAACGACCATGCCACATATCCCCAGACATCCAAACAATCACAAACAGAAATGTTAGCTACGAAGAGTAAAGTTTCACCACCCTTGTACCGACAACAATATCTCCACCTCGCATCGAAAGGTGTGTCGTTCATCATTATTAACACATGATAAGCTAATCCTGATCACAATTCTGAATTTATACTAAAGGTTAAAAATCAATTGTGCACAAACAGATGGGATTAGCAAAAAGCTTTTGTCACGAGACAACCGTAAACAAGGAAACTAGGAAACCACTTAAAGCTAAACAAAAGGTTGTTTTTGTGGTCTTATCCTCTCGAGTACAGACTGCATTATATCTGCCCTAGGGTCGATGGGATGCTTCACGACATGCTAATACTTTTTAATTAGCCACACTCGATTTGAAGTAATCCGAATGTTTTTACTATCGTCACCTCTTCAATTAGTCGTCAATTGATCTAGGGAACTAAGAAAGGACACCTTGGCAAGAAGAGCCCGTGTAAAAAGTTTGGTGGATATTTCATTGGTTTTGCATTGCCACGCGTATCGTCCATCTGCTGCTGCTCTTCCTACCAACCTGGACAGAACGTCAAACAACTCACAGTTACGACAAGATCACGTCAATACTCCATGTGCACACCAAACCTTAAGAAACATTCCCGTGCATGAATACTTGCTAATATTTGAGAAAGGATGTCTGAAAAGGCTTTTACCCTACACCCTCAGCGAAATTGCAGGACATGCACAGGAGGAAGAACCACTCTTGTTCTGCAAGATCCTCGGGCTTCAACGCGAATGGCTTACTAGCTTGCTGATGCCCAGTTTTACTGTCGGACAATGAGTTGTAGAGATCACGGAGCTGCTGCGAACGCTGCAAGCCGAACTCCTCAGGCGTCAACTCCTTGGCACCGATGGTTTTTCGAGTTTTGATGGTTCCATTATAGTAGCCATCACCCCAGACCAAAGTTCTGCCATAGCAGGTTCCAGAATATACCTTGATATCTTATTATTATTGCAGACATTGTGTCGAGTGCGAATTAAAAACTTCCGATGTGATGAGAAGCAACTGGCACGGACAGTGATAACTCACTTCTGATTACTGGACGCTGGCTTCCAGAAGACGGAGTAGGTCCATTTAACAGCACGAGTGGCGGCTTGCAATTCAAGCCGCAACTCTGGTGGCACAAGTGGCGTCATTTCCTTTATCGCTTCTAATTTGGAACCTGACATTTCCTTCTCATTCTGCCTACGTCACATATTTACATCAGATCAAAATCAGAATCAACTGACATGACACTAAAGCCATCTGTGATTCCTTTGACAACAGATAGGACAACCGAGGGTTATTCATGCGACACAGCCACAGAATCTGCAGGACAGGTACTTCCTTTCTTTGAAGAACCACATTCAGAAACCAGCAGTTCTTTTGATTTATAGACTGTTACCATATTATGTCATAGTAGCCTTCACTAATCAGCCGGAAAGCGCTAAACAGCCAGGTTAAGATTTTCCAGGTTCTTCACCAGCGAATACACACGCTCAGTACTCATAGCATTTGTGCTTCACCACTATTAGTCTTCAAGTGTGGAAACAAGGAAGCTCTCCAGAAAATATAAGGGACGAAAGGTTCAGAATGGTACTCATGCGTTTAAACAAGCTATTGTCGTAGCAACTACCCAGCTTCAAGAAATTTTGCTGTGATGAAGAGCACTGTATGCATTTGATTCGAGATATATTTTTTTCTTCTTGAAGTGCTTCGAACGATAAACACGATGCATTAAGTTATGTCAGGAAAGTACCTGTACAATTCTTGTTCCTAGTATTCACTTCACATTCAGCAGCCTCCCAGGTGTTGTGGTTGTCACGTCGAACCCCTCAGAGGTGCGTTTTCAACAATGCATCTGGATTCAATAGGTCAGCAACTGCTGAGAAATGGACCGCAAAGAAGGATCTTGATTATTCCATAATTCCATATTCAAGAGTTTTGGGCCTCGGTGGTGTGAGTGTTCCTACACCCTAAAATGTGATTCTTGAAATAAAACAACTTTCAAAAATGCCATCGGGAAATCAACTCCGCCAATCCCAGAGAAACATCAACTTCTACAACGGCAAATTTGTTGTGATTGAACACCAACATGCAGACACTGAAACTGTTCCAGGCACCTTAAGTGGTAAGCAGATAATGATAAGATTAGCTTCTTGCACGAGGCCGGAAACCTGCAAATCCGTTCCAAAAGCTCCGAAGTGAACAGCCCTAGGGCAACCGAAAAGAAGCCTGTCCTCCTACGTGTTCTCACGTCACCTTCTTGCAGCTCAATGATCACAAACACCCACAGACCGACTACTCTAAACCATCCAAAATCCAACACAACAAAAATCTACCTCACCCGGGGACACAAATTCGAAACCCCACTTCCGCGCGTCGGAGTAAAATGCACCGAAAGTCTGCAGAAAACCTGCTACAGTGAAAGGCCAGTGCGCTCTTCCTTGTCGCGTCTCAAACGCGCAAAATTCATCAACGGCATAACACCGTCATTCATTACTAAAGCGACATAAGATTAACCGACAACCAGGAGTAATCACAGTCGAAGCAAAATCTGGCACTTTAGCCAGTCTGCCTAATTGACCATGCATGGAACGTTTCTTCCATACATTCCCTACTTCCAATTGGCGCAATCTTCTATATAGCTTTAAACAATACAAAAGAAAGGAAAAAATCAAAAAAAAAAAAAAAAAAAAGTGAAAAGGATGAAAGGGGTTGGGAAGGGGAGGGGGAGAAAAAGCTTACTAATGCGGTGGATTGTTGACATATCCAGACCTCCGAATCTCCACCACACCGCCATCGCCATTCCCCTACTTCGACGACAGGCACTCCTCCTCCTCCTCCTCCTCCTCCAGATAGCACCTCCCTCGCACTTGACATGCGCCAGCTCCATTCCCAAAGCGACACTGTTGTCCAGCCCAGGCGTGACGCAGGCCCTGACACCCTACGGACGTGCGCACAGGATTGCACAGGCAATCGCAGCTGAAGAGTAGACAAGGACGACGAAGAAGACGAAGGAGAACTCCATCCCGCTAACTTCACGTGATCATCCTTGCGCCCACGCTCTCTCTCTCCATACCCCCGTCCGCACTGCAGCGACGTCGCAGCATTGGTGCTTGAACCAAATCCAACGATCTTCGTCGCCTTGCGTCGATGTCTGCATCAAAGTCGCCGTAAATTGCAGGTAGGTCCGCCTGATTTTCATGCCGATGATTTCGCATTGGCGTTGAAGGCTTTGTGCCGACTTCTCTCTTTGTGGCTCCCCAGGTCGACGACCACGACACCAACTTGGTTTTATCTATATTTATATATAGACACACACAAAAATACACAAAAGTGCATGCCTTACACTCTTAATGCTTGTGAAGATTATACTTGCAAACTTCACAGTGTTTTTATTGGGTGAGAGTGTTACACCTATTATTCGTTAAAATTGAGAAGTCAGCAGCAAGTGCATCTCACGACCAACAGCACACTTGAGGCTCTTGTTGGTCAAAGTCTATTGAACAAAAACCATAAACAAGCACGAAAACTGTGACTTCTTAGTGTGTAATTAGGCTTTGATAGAGGTGCTGCTTTCCTTTTGAGCGCAGGTGATTGTTAGTCTTGCTGTTCTCCACACTCACATTGCTACAGTCACCAATTTGTTAATATCTCCTCTTGTGATCCTTTATTGGCAATCGGGCAGGCCGGGTTGCAATCCAAATGGAAGCCAAACTAGGTGGTGTTGAGGAAAAGAATTTAAAGATTGTAAATAACCAAGTGAGATGTTTTTCAAAGAGAGATAACAAAAATGAAATAAGTAAATAGGCATATCCGAGAAGAAAATGGAATGACTATTACCAAAGATTAAAAACCTATACTTTTAAAACTAGAGTAAAAACAACAAAGCCATTAATAAAAGTGAGAAAGACCTCAACTTTGCCTCTATATATACTATCTAGTTAGAATCTACATGACAACATTCTCTAGAATCTTGAACATGTTGTTGTATTGTAACACAACTATTAAGTGAAAAAAAAACAAAACAAAACAAAACAAAAACAAAAACAAAACAAAAAAAAAACAAACAAACAAACAAGTAAGTGCTATTACTACATCCTTGCAAAATGGGCTTCTACTTACTTTGTATGGTCATAAATGAGGCAAAACAAAGTAGATAAGAAAAATAATTGATATAAACATCTTCAAAAAAGAACTAAGAGCACTTTGTAGCAAAAATTACATTAAAAATCAAGAATTGATACCAAAAGAGGATTGGTTTTGAACTGTGGTTGAAATTAGACTTTAAAAAATAAAATCATGCACCTACAAAAATTTTGGATTTATTTTGGATTAAAGGATGGAGCTTGAGAGAAAAATAAAAAAATATATATATTCTTTAAACATTGGATTTGAATGATTTGAGTTTGTATTAATTCTATAAAGGCTTTGTAAAGTCCATGTAGAATCGAGAGATATTGATGTTAGGAGAATAGCAATAAGGTTGGAAAAGAAAGTTAGCCAATACCTAAATAAATTATGAGGATTATCTCACATTTGATATATTTAAATTTCTTCAAATTTTGTACTTTTTTTAAAATAATAGTTTTAGAGGCATGCAAATTTTGAGGTTGAATCAAAAGTAAAATTATTAATTCTTAAGATTTTATTTTGCTTTAAAATTTGGTGAAAGTTTGATTAGGATTTTATAAGAATTTAGGATTTAAATAAGATTTGACTAGAATTTAAGATTCAATATTTTATTTAATTTTTTTTAAATTTAATTAGAATTTAAATAGAATTTATTTAGGATTTGTTTTAGAATTTTTTAGGATTTTTTTAGAATTTGGATAGGATTTTATTTGGATTTGTTTAGGATTACATTAGAATTTGGTTAGAAATTACTTAAATTTTTTATTTTTAGTATTTATTTAAAATTTCTATTTTTAATTTTTAAAATAATTTTTATTATTTCTTTATTATTTCTTCAAAAATTCTTTAGGATTTCTTTATGTTTCTTTTATAATTTCTTTAAGAATTCATTTCAATTTGATTAAGGTTTGATTAGAATTATTAAGATTTAATTGAGATTTATTTAGGATTCTATTAAAAAATTTAAAGTCTAATTGCTGTAATTTCTAATTTATTTTTCACTACCTAATATTTGATGCATTCTCAAACAAGACTTCATGTAGTACAATATGATTAATTTAAGAGAAGGATATTATAAAATACTTAAGATGTTATGTTAAAAAAATAGATCTAAAGTATATTTCAAAGAAGAAGATGGTGTAATTATTTGAATTAGCTTTTTTTCTAAAAATAAGAAATTACATAAAATCTACTATAAGATATTTTAAATATTTATAGAGGAAATTATTTCAAGCATAAAAGAATTAATTTTTTTTAGAAGATAATGACTTATTTACAAATAAGTTATTTTTTTAATAGATTAAGAAGTCCAAAAAGGATTTTCAAACAACAAGATTATTGAAGGAATTTAAAAAATAATATTTTTATTTATCAAAGAAAGAAAGACAATTATCAAATCCAAGCAAAGTAGAATTTTTTCTTCAAGTGGCTAATGAAAATTTGAAAGAGATTGAAAATTTAGATTAAAGATAAAAAAGAAGATGAAGGATTGATAACAAATTAAAAAGATATAGAAGAGGCAGTAGAATTATTGACAAAAAGAAAAAAGAGAAAGAAAAGAGTGAATATTCAAAGACCACTACGAGTATCTAATATAAATATATCCACTATCTATCCTAAATCTATGATTCAAATTTCAATGGCTACATCAAAGAAAGAAGAAATGAGCATTAATGAAATCATACATAAAATAAAAGATTTATAAATAAAATCTGCAAAACTTAAGAAGAAGAAGAGTCAATTATTAAGAGTACAAATAAGACAAAAATTGGAACCAATGAAAGATATTATACATAGATACATGCAATGTGATAGAATAGATCATTCAAGAAGGGAATGGGAAGTTTTTACAAAGGCACTATGCAAAGGGGTTGTTTTTTTCAAAGATGGTATGATACTCTTAAAAAAGAGTAAAAGAAAATTAGAGACAAATTTTGGTAAAAAAAAATAAAGATGTTTATAAAAGATGCATTTAAAGTGCATAAAGTCTTAAGCAATGAAGCATCAATATATTTGTAGAAAGCAAATCTAAGCAAATTTCTAAGTATAAGATTGAATTTTTAAGAGAATCTAATTCTTTGTGGTTGAGTATAATGACTTATGATGAAAAAAATTATAAGAAATAATTTAGAATTTTTTGGCTACAATAAATAGAAAATTATTAGATAGAATGATCCAATAGATATTTTATTTGTTTATTTAGATATAAAGATTTAATTTATAATTAATAAAATACTAAAAATTATAAAGTACAAATTTTATGATATTATTATTGATACAATAAAGAAAAAATAATAATCTATAAAAAATAGTAGGACATTAAATGCAAAAAGAACAAAAATAAGAAAAAGCAATGTAGATGAAGAGATTGAAATGTGAATTTTTGGAAATGTTTTATAAATTAGATTTACAAAAAAAAATTGTAATTAAATGTTTTAGTAATTACTCTTAAAATCATTAAGCAAGGGCTACTACCAAAACTTTAATAAACTCAAAAAAAATTAGAAAAATCAATTATAGCATTAATTGATTATAGTTCTGAAATTAATTTGATATCAAAAGAGTTGTATAATAACAAAAAATGATCCATCGATATTAAATATGGGTGAATAATAAGATAAATAAAAAATTCAAAAGAAGATTTATATGGACCTTATCCAAATATCAAGGTGATAATAGAAGTTATTATTCATGAACAAAAAAAAATATACAAGATATGTCTTTATATCATATTATATTAAGACAATCATATATTACTACCATACAAATATAGATAAAGATTATGGATGATGGTTTAACTTATAGAAGGATAAAAAGTCAAGATAGAAACAAGAAAATTCAATTTTTAATTCTTTGTGCAAATCATAAAAGAAATTGCTATAAATTGAGTAAAAATCCATTATTAAATAAGAATTTTGAAGACCATTAGGATTTTTATAATATACCATTGTAAAGTAAGATTGCAATGGTTTAAATAAAATAAAATAAAAACTCTCACTTAGCTTAAATATAAGATTGTCTCTTATCATTCAAAAATATTAATAAGATAAAAAATAGACAAATATTATATTAAAAATATTGAACAAAACTTGAAAGAAAATAGAAAATTGATTGTATATGAATTTATTCTAGAAGCATGTAAAGAATTAAGATCTGAAAATATTATGAAAGAATTAAATTATTTATTAAAATATGAATTATAAAGAAGGAATATAATTATGAATGTATATTTTAAAGAATTTTATCATGAAATTCAAAGAATTATGGAAATTTTAAGTGGCCAAGAGATACATGTTGAAACTAAGTATAAATCAATAGCAAAGAAGATTAAATTAGTGGCTTTATCACTATTATTAGGTTATAAAGAAATGATGAGTGGAGTATCTATACAACCAAATTTTAGAAATCCCAAGAAAATAGAGCATGAATTTACAAATGCTACATTAATTGGATTAAAAATTGGATGTAAAAGATTTTTGATAAAATGTAAAGAAAAATATTTTCGAAACGTGTTCAATGGATGATCTAAAACATTATAAATTC